CAAGGTCCAGCTTGTCCAGTTTCCATGGCAAATAATCTGTTCTCTTTTAAAGCTTTTTTAATAACTTTAGAAATTTTCGCAGCATCTTGTAATATAACAGTTAATTCTGGATAAGTCACATCATTTAAAGCTGGCATAGAATTAGCGCATAAAATAACCTACGTAATTAATTAATCCATATTATTTTAATATAATTATATTGGATTATAATAATTAATGTAATTTAGTTGCTATTATTGTTATATAATAATAAATACGAAGTATAAAATAAATGATTTACTTTGGTTCCTCGTTGCAATAAATCACGCGTAAATGGTAGAATTCCAAGAACAATATCTACACCACTGTTATCAACAAAAATAGCTGCACATTTATGAGCAACATTATTTTGTAATCTATTTATCCATTCATCTAAATTATCCACTAACCATGGTCTACCTAAATCGAACAATATATCAATTAACAATTATTCTTACGTGTTATTTATATTAAAAATATTCAAAATACTTCTAATATCATTTGTATTTGATGAAAAATTTACCAGGTATTTTTTCTTGTGCTTCCTTAAAACCAAAATCTGTAGTTTCCATCAGAGTTGCAACATCTTTTGCACCCCAATCAAACATATTACCACTAAGAACTCCTAATATTAAAGCTCTTATCTTTTCTACTCCATCCAAGTTGTCTAATACAGTTAAACGATCTTTCAAATGTTTCAATGCCTCCTCATTTTCCTTCTTTTTTTGCTATTTATTTATTATATTAATTAAATATGAATAAATAAGAAATAATTTATAATTACTACAAATTAGAATTTAAATTAAATCAATATAACTGATAAAAGTTTAAAAACTTACATATAGGTAAGGATCTGGGAAATCAAATTCTTTCATACAATGTTCAATAGTATCCAGCAATGTTCTTACAGTAAGAATTCCATATGCACTGTATTAAAAATATATAATTAAAATAATCTTTCACGTGTAAGTTATTATAATGGTATTAATTATTAATGATAATTTTTAACTTAAATCAAAACTTACAATGGTTGCAAATTGAGATAATGCAATCTACTTATATATTTTTCTTTTAATTTAGTTGCTCTATCTTTTGCTGTAGGATTTTGGGGTTGGCTAAGAATAGCTTTTGCAACACATTTATCAACAAGTTCTTCAAAACACTGAAGCCAATAATCTCTAAATATATTCAAATATTAATAAAAACACACAAAGAAAATATTGTATACATGTAATATCATGAAATCTTACCTAGCCTCTTTATCTTCAACAAGATCTGTTGTATCTGGATTATACAATGTTGGATCTTTTAACAATGGACAGAATGTAACAGCATGTTCAATTTGATCAATTTCTAATTGTTCCACTTTAATTCCAAGATCGGAAGGTATTGAATCTTTAAAGCCAGAAGAACCAGCATAATTTTCTAACCAGCTATGTTCATCTGGCTGTTCTGCACCATATAAAAATGCACCGATTGCTCCAAGATATCCTTCATGACGTAGAAAAAGTGGTTTAACCTTTCCCTGTATAAAAAAATAAATTCAAGATAAAAGAAAATTGATTTTAACTTACACTATATCTTGTAAATAATACATATGTCTATCGTAAAGAAATTCTAACTAAACAATGAACTGTAATGGAAGTATAAAAGTTATATATTATTATTAATATTATATTTCGAACTAACATTGGACCAATACTTGATGGAATAAGAAATAGTATACATTGAAAGAGGATGATTTCGAAGAAAATAACCACCAAAATATACTTTATCCATATTATGTAAAGTTGCATACAAACTAGCTATTTGTCCGATATCATTGCTTATTGTTAACAAGAGACTTCTTGCAATATCAGCTTCTGAGAATTTTTGTTGAGCTGAAATATTTATTTTTATAACTAATTTGTACAAAACAATTTTGCTTTTTTTTTTGTGTGTGCATAGTTTAAAAAGATATAAATATTTCTTTTTTTTTATTATTATTATTACCGCGATTATTGCTATCAAACATTGCTTTTCCAAAAGATGATGCAATAAGTTCTCCTGATAATCCTTGGGAAGTATAATCACCACCATAAATATCTTTTACCAGCATATCTACATTACGATGATCTCCTCGTTCTGCAAGTTGCAGCAATTCATCAAAGTCCTAATAGATTTTTACAAAATTTCTTTTAATGTATATTTATACATAGATAGATAATCTAGATAACTTATGTTATATAGATTATAATAATGATAAAGAGTGAAATAAAACTGTGAAATAATTATAAAAATAATGATTTTTAAATTAATTGAATTTAAATTAATTAATTATAATTAAATTAAATAATTATTTAAAGAAAATATGTGTACGATTATTTGATTTCAATATATATATATATATATATATTACCTTTCCATTAGTAAGTAATGAACCTAATCCCCAAAATGTACCACCACCTGTAGCTGTACCACCAACTCTTTCGAATATTTCATCTGATTGTACCTATATATACATAATTATTATATAAATTTATTATATATTACATAATATATATATATATATATGTATATATTTATATATTGAAAACTTACTTTAAAAATACTGACTCCATTTCCAATGTTAACAAGCATATAAGGAAAAATATTTGGACCTGTTTTTCGAAATTTATATTCAGGATTTCCATGTCTTTCAAATTCAAATGCCTCACACGGTATATGTTTCAGTAAGAAATTACAACCCTTTATTAGACAGCGTACTTCATCTTCTTTGTCAACTCTAAATAAATATCTTAACTTTTGTCATAGAACTTTCACAACGATGTTAAATTGTATTTACATTTTAAAAGACATGTTCAATTAAGGTCTTAGCATTCATTTAAATGCTTACATTAAACCTAGTTTTTCCTGTAAGAGTGGTGTATATTTATAAGCTCTACCTCCAGTTACTTTGATACTTTTTCCATGAAATTGTTCAACATTTACTAAATTTTCTTTAACAAAATCCAAACAATTAGCAAAATGTCTTGTTTCAAATTTAACAAAGTGGAGTCTATTTCCTTCAAATACTTTGTATGCTCGTTCTCCTGTATTTCCCAAACCAATATTATCGTACAATGCCTTGCGATAACTAATTGTCGAATAGTATGCTATTTTGGTCAACGAAACACCTGAAATAATTAAATAAATTTAAATAATACAATATTTAATATTAAACTTTACTTTACTTTTTTTTTTTTTTTTTCAAATAAAAAACAATATCAATGTAAATAGACAAATAATACATAATAATGAACTATATATGTAGATCTTATTCTAAATTTATATACAAGCACACTCTTTTGATTATTTTTATCACAACATAACCTATATATTTATACAATTTAACGATTATTCGTATAACCAAAAAAAAAGCAAACAAACAAATATTTAATTAAAATACAAAAGTTATTATTAATTTTTTTGTAAAACTAATGACACAATACTTGGTTATTCAAATCTAACCTTTTAAAATCATCAAAACTGATAATAAAGAAATTGAATAACCAAAAGTTTTAAAATGTTAATAGATATTTAACACTTACCTATATCAATTGCAAATTTTTGTGCGTTTTTTAAATTTGCAAATACTTCAACTGCAGGTGGTAATTTAATTGATTGGGATTGATCGCCGGTAGTCTCTGCCATTTTTAGATTTAATCAAATGTTCCTCTTTTGTTTTAGTCACTCAACTCACCTTTCTAACGCATTTGACAAATAATAATACTGTACCAGCATCACGAAATATTTAGATTCTGTTCAAATTATACGTTATCATAAATCAAACATTTCTTTTTATTGTCATTTCTGAAAAAAAAAGAAAAACAAATTATTCGTTTACAAGCGCTTTCAAATATGGTGTTTTATAACGGAAAAATACTGTCAAATACAATTTCAAATTAATTATCACTTCAAAAATTGTTTTTTTTTTTGGTATGATCAATAAATTTGATTCATAATATTCATTAAAATTTCCATTTAAATGTTATAATCAAGTTTGTTCATTTATTTAATTCAAATATTATAGAATTGATTTATTAATATAACCTAATTTCATCATATATGCGTGAAAATTGAAAACAAATTCAATGTCATTATATTTATTTATATAAAATTGTATATTTATACGTTTGAATTGTTATTATATATTTCTTGATTAAATATATTGCAAAACATATGTGCAATTTAATATATAATATAGTACAACACAATTTTATAAATAAATTACATATTTGCTTATATAAAATATTAACTTGTTTAAAAATAGTTTTAAAATCAATTTAAAATACTATAATTTAATGTAGAGAAGATCTCATTTTTCTTATATCTTATCTTTACCTTATAATCTTATCTGTACGTTACAATCTTATCAGTTGATACATAGACAATTATTTGTATATACATGTATGTTACCACATATTCAATGCGTTAATTAGCATAAATAAATAAATGAAATTATATTCATAATTTGCATTTATTGAACATTAATAATATATATATATAAACATTAGTAATATCAATTATTTTTGTATTACTGATTTGAACGCTATTTTTTAAACGTTAAAAATCAAAATTGTACATCTATATATGTACACTATATATTTATAAATTTTTTTTTTGTTTCATAATATTTATGTACATTTATAACAATTTACATCGATTTACTTAAAACTTATTTATTTTAAATCATTATTTACAAACTTACCTAAGGAAAGATTTGTTTGTAATTCAAATGAAATATGTTCAATGTAATTTGTTTGAAAATAAAAACATTTAAATTTGACTTTTCATTTTTCATAATTTTTGTAGCTCCTAATAGTATCTCGTAGAATTAATTCTATTATAATTATAATAAAAAAAACATATAAATACAACAATAAATATACAATAATATTCCTGATGAAAAACCCTGTTAAAATATATGTTTCATTATTTCATTGTTTATAGAATCAAATTTTTTTTTTTTTTTTTTTTTAAGAAACTCTGATATTTTTGTGTCCTGATAATAATGGAGCAGTTAAAATAAGTTTATTATTCTGTAATAAATTATATGAACCATATGTACAATATTTATACGATACAAATGGTATATAAAATGCTCTAAAGAAAGAATGTGATCTGTAAAAAGAGAGAAATTAAAATACACAAGATACATATATTAATTGATATAAAACAATTACATAATAAATGTTATTTAAATATATACTTACTTGGATGTATCGAGAAATTTGGAAGATTTTAATACAACAAATTGATTAGACATTTTAGAATAATTTGGTTCTAAATCTGTTTCTGTACCAATATCAAGATCTAATAGAAAATGGCACTTTTCTACTGATATCTGAAAGTAATATGTGTATAAATATATCTTAATATCTTCTAATGAAAATGAAAGTATGGTGGGTGATTGGTCAATCAACATAATCCATTTCCAAAAAGATGTTCATTGTCCAATCTAATTGTTATACAATCACCCACTGTATAATGTTTTATTTATAAACACATAAATAAAGACTTACATAACGAGATGGTTCTTCTTTATTTAAATCATTAAAATGTGGCTGAATGATGCTTGTTGCATTTTCATGATCCAAATAAGGTTGAGGTAATTCTCCTTTAAATTCCGATCTCAAATACTGAAGTTTCCAACTAGAAAAAGATTTATTTGATTACATAAACAAAATAACAAGAAGTAAATATTTTTATTTTATTTATATAACTTACTTATTTGATGGGAAAAAGAAACTGCTTGGAAAACGATGCCATTCTTTACCAACGCAAAAATTGATATTGCCATCACTTGATATTTCTCCTTCTGATCCAAGTTTATTAGTTTCAATCATTATTTCCATTGGAGCATAATATCCTAGATAAAAATATAATATAATATTATTAATGAATTATATTTGATGTTGCTTAATATTTTATAATAATTCTATTTTGATACTGTACCCTTATATAAAGCAAGAGTTCTAGATAAACCAAAAAGACCGCAGACAATGATGGCTATAGTCATGATATGAGTTGTGTATTGAGAATAATGACATCCAATGTGTAATGGACAGAATTTTGTTCTGATAAAAAAATATAACTTTTGCAAAACATCCACTGATATTGCACCGGTTAAACAAATCATTGGATATACAGGGAATAAAAATCTTTCTTCCTGTAAAGATGATACCATAAAAAAAAAGTACATATATTAAATTAAAATAATATTAATTATTAATACCTTATGAGATTGTAGAAAGAACACTAAGAACCAAAGATACAATGGTGCCAACGAATACCAATAGGGTAAGCATAAACGTTCTCTTGGTTTAGCTGGTATCACAAGCCAAACTAAAAACTATTAGAATTATTAAAATTCTGTTTATAAAATAAATGTTCTATCTACTATATAATATTTTTGGGAACCTTACTAATCCAAATGGAGCAATTAATGCGCCAATAAAGATAAAGTTAAAATTTAAAAATCCATTGGCGATGTAATAACTAAATGGTTCTGTGCCATAAATATCAGGTCCATGATTAGTGAAAACATTATACATTATGATGTTTAATGGTGCAAGAACAAATCTGCCATAGTAGATTGAATCAATCCAAATCATTGGTGCTAATATTACAAATGCAGAAATAATGACCCATTTTATAAATTTGCTCCATTCTTGTCTATGGAATAACATTTCTATGGCAATTGGTAATCTAGATATTACAATATTAATTTTATTGCAATTCGAAGATGTGTATTAAATATACAATATTTGATTCATATATAATTTATCAAAAATAAATTAGATATACCCAAGTAATGATGCGAATGGCCATCCTAATAAAGAAGATATAGCAGTGGCAAAAATGGCAAATTCATATTGCCGACCATACCAAGCTGCTATAGCAACTGTACTTAAGTACCTATAACATTATTACATAATTTATTTAAAAAAAAAGAACTTTGTTATTTGAAGAACATTACTTTATACTTACATTGAAAATGATGATGGTAAAAAAGCAGAACTGGATACGTACATTCCTGAACTAAGGATAAGAAAGACAAGCGTAAGTCTTGCAATATGAACTCCAAATTCACGGCATACATTTCTACAAATATAAATGCATAGTGTATTAAAAAAGATCATTGTTAGACATATTTTATTTTACAAGATATACATACTTGTAAAAATATACTTCAGATAATGCACAGCCCACAGATAAGAGACATCGTATGAAGTAAAATATTAAAACTGGATTTGGTTCTAATAAATAATGATAGAGTTTTGCTGGTACCATATGTATTAACAAATAAGTATATGATCTCAATGCATATTCAGGACTATATTCCCATGTTTGTTCACCAGTTCCATAAAGCAAATAATGACTCTAAAGTGTAACGATTCTAATTTACTATTGTATAATCATAATATTATAAATTTGCTTATACGTTTAAATACATACTGGTTCCCAATAATTATAAGTCTCATCGCAGTCTGTTATATGACACCATATAGCTGAACAAAATCTGGCTGATAAAATTAATTTAAATGCTGTATCTACTCCTGGATACACAAGTCCGATGTCTGATTCTTCTGATCTATAAAATAAAAATTAAAATATATATATACAAATTGATATACTTTAATATGAATTAAAATAAACATATTCCTATGCTTATTAATTCATTGTCAAGAGTAATAATAACACTTACATTTATTAACAATGTATTTAAGATTCTATATATGTTTCAATAATGAAAAAAGAAATGTATTATTGTAAAAATGACAAATAAGGTTAGCCGGCAAAATTTGGAATATATCTGACATATGAAAGAAACATTCTTTGATAAACATCTTTATTGACTTTAAGTAAATGAATAAAATGTCAAAGATACTCACTTTGAAAATCTCCTGCCATTGATCTTTCTTAAATCTTTTTTGGAATAGAACAATTGTCGTTGACGTGGATTAGGTGCCATTATTATGCACACCATATAATAACTTATCAATTTATTTACGATTACCCATATCAATATATGTATATATGTTTTTAAAGACTGTCACTATCTTTCACTTGAAGCGTATGCGACTTCAACGACATATACGGACAAAACATGAACTAACAGAATGAAAGCAGCATCCCCACCATTTATCTATAGTATCGGTGTATAAACTTGTGTAGGTCAAACTTCTCTACGTTTGTGTGAGCTAGTGTATTAGTGTTAGTAAGCTGAACTCACACACGCACGCAACGACAACACACTAATAGTGATGAATATTAACAGTATTCAAATCATTGCATTTTTCTGTTTTAAATGTTAACATAAATGACATTATATATATTTTGATTATATTAAACAAGTTATATATTAAATTAATTATTGATATAAACATTCAAATAAACCATGCCTGTGTTTCAAGAATCTTGCGCTGAGGTAAATAATAATTATATTTCATTGAGGTTATTATATACATATTACACATTTGTAATTAAATATTAACATAAATATTATTTTCTGTGTTTTCAGCAAATTCAAGCACAAACTATTATTATAATTCATCCTGGTTCAATGTATCTTCGTATGGGTCGTGCTTCTGATTTAAATCCTTGTACTCTATTAAATGCAGTTGCTAGAAGACGATTACCAGGTGGTGTTGAATATAAGGATAGTTTTTTACCAGCTCTTGTTCCTCGAGTAAGCTAGTTTATTAATTATTTTGATTATTAATTATACAAATTAATAAAAATAATCTTTAATTGTTTCTATTAGACAAAAGAATTAACACAAACAATGGAAGAATCACGTCTTCACGTTTCTCATACATTGCAATCTTGTTTACAATCAGATGGTAGAAGAAGATATGCTACACCACCCCAACAAATAGCAGCTTTTAATCGTAGATCCAATCCAGAAGTATTATCCCCATCCAAAACTGAATGGATAAAGACGGATAAGGATATCATTGTGGGTGACGATATACTTTCTTTAAATCCAGATGATCATTTTAATATACATTTTCCATATAAAAGAGGTGAACTTAATGTTCATTCTGGACCTGGTGGAAGTTTAAAAGCAGTTATGGCTGATCTAAAAACAATCTGGGAATACGTACTTACCGACAAAATGAACATACCATTAAGAGATTTAAAACATTATCGAGCAGTACTTGTAATACCAGACATTTACAATAGACAATATTTAAGAGAATTAACCACATTGATGCTTTGTGAAATTGGTTTCGGAGCCTGCTTTCTTTTACAAGTTTGTTACAATAAAGATAAGATATTATAATTATAAATTTATAAGGGATTATTTAAATAATGATTCTTTTTATATGATCTTTATTAGGATCACGTAGCAGCTACATTTGGAGCAGGTCTAGGCTATGCATGTGTTGTAGATGTCGGTGATCAGAAAACATCTGTCTCTTGCGTTGAAGATGGAATTTCTCATAGACATACACGTGTACGTATGGATTATGGTGGTGGAGATATAACTCTTACATTTCTTTGGTTGCTTCAAAAGTGCGCATTCCCATACAAGTCTTGCGATCCATTTGATAAACTGGATGCATTACTTTTAAATCAATTGAAGAAAGATTTTTGTCATGTCGATTTAAATATTTGCGGATCTCAAGAAAAAACATTCATCGTCAGGAAACCTAAAAGGCAAACAGAGAAGTATACCTTGCAAGTAATATTTTATTTCTACATTGTATTAATTTATTAATCATGTGTTATATTAAACAGATATATGAATATATTTATATTTACAGGTTGGAGATGAATGTTTGGTAGCACCTTTAAGTTTATTTCAACCAGAATTGTTTAAAGTTACTGGTACGCATAATGTACATATTCAGAGACGATCTATGGGTGATCCGGAAGATCCTCACGATGAAAATTACTTGCGAGAAACGAGTGTAAAAATATTTATATTTATATATATATATATACATTTATTTATATTGTATGTAATGATATGTTAATATAACTTTATAGAGAAGAAGTATGAAAGAAAATTTAGAACAAGCATTAGAAATGCAAGAAGAAGTGGTTGCACCAGCCGCTGTAGGTGAAGAAGAAGTTAACGTAGATGCCATAGATACTGCTCCAATTGCTTTATCAAATCGAGATGTCGATGCAAGAGATTTTTTAGTTGGTCCTCAACAACTTCTTGGACTCGATCATGCTATATTGCAAAGTATTGATCGTTGTCGTACGTAAAAAATTGAATTTACATTTTAAAGTAAGATATACATTTTGTTGTTGTTGTAAGATTATTTACAAATAAATATTTTTCTCTACAGCTTCGGAAGATTTAAAAAGAAAAATGTCTAGTTGCATTCTTGTTGTTGGATCTGGAATGAAATTTCAAGGAATTGGAATGTGGCTTCACAATCGTATATCGCTTCAAATTCCTTATATGTACAGAACTGGTAATTATTCATTTGAGTATTAATGTTTTTCTTATTTATTTATCATAAAAAATATATTATTACTAATAATGTATAATTAATAACTTTAGAAACATTAGATATCATTACACAACCAAAAGAAATGGATCCAGGAATAACCACATGGAAAGGTGCTGCAATTTTAAGTTGTCTGGAATCTGCATTAGAATTATGGATTGGCAGACAAGAATGGGAACGTTTTGGAGTAAGAATACTAAGAGAAAGAGCTCCTTTTCTATGGTAGATTAATGGTAATTTCATTTGTAATTATATTTAAATGTTTTTTTTTTTTTTTTTTTTTTATTTGTTTCATATGTATATTTATTATTTTGTATTCGTCTCTATTCTCTTAGACAAAAAATATTGTATAAAAAGTAATAATACGTAAGATAAATTTTCATTATTTCATAACAAGTCATTCATTTTAATTTTATTTTTATCATTAGGATGATACATAACAATATCTGCTTCCACTAAATATTTAACGCAATCTAATATTTCTGGTCTCATATCCACATAAATATCATCACCGCCTTTTGCATACGCCATTACCAATTCCTTAACATAATATAATTTGTTATATTTTTATATAATAAAATAATTTTTTTCAAGATAACAGAAATATTATGTTACTTACTGACAGAATATTAGAGAAGTTTTTATTTTGTGGAAATAATAAGTCCACTAATTCACGCTATAAATGAATAAAAAGAAGAAACAAAAAAGAAAGTAAATACAATCAACATAAATCAATTAAAACAAAATTGATGAAAGAAATGATGATGATACTTACTAAATCTTGTTTAGCTTCTTTAAATAATTTTTTACTCATTCGTAATTCTTGTTCATACGTATTATTCTCGAGTAATTGTACAGTAGTTAAATACTTTTCACGCATCTTATTAAAATCGTTCCTTTTATTTTCTAAACTGCAATATTAATAAAAAAAAAAAAAAAAAATGATTAAAACCATATATATTAATCTTATTTATTATTTAATCTAATTTCATACTAATTAATATCCTTTTCGATGTTGTGCAATTCTTCAATCGTTTTGTTTAACAAACTTTTAGCATTAACGATCTCTTTTTCTAAATCATCAAGTGTATCTATATGAATATCAATTGTATTAGGTATAGGATAATTTTTAGGAGGTTTATTAGGAATATATTTCCATATACTATTAGCCAACGTGCGTTGTTTCGTTATCACTTCATCTGATGTGCATGATGTTTTCAAAGCACTAATTTTGTTATGTTTTATCTCAATTGTTAAATCATCAATTTCTTTACACAAACATTGTTTCAAATCTGTTAAATCTTCATACGTATCTTGTAAAGTATACTCCACATTTGTATCCTAAAAAAATAGTTTCTAATTTTATATTATTTTCAATCCTACTTGCAATTAATAAAACTTAAAAAAGAAAAGAAAAAGAACATACGTATCAAAGAAATAAATTCATTTAATAAAATAAAATAGTAAACATAACTTATATTGTTGTATAGGTTATATAGTTAACATTTTAAAAATATTGTTAAAAATATTATCACAGATAAATTGAATTATTAAATAAAATTATATTTACCATTATTTTATTAATAATTTTTTTCTAAATAACAACAAATAAACACTTATAAACACAACAGAAAAGTTTGATGTTAACTAATAATACAGAAAAATATTTTGAAATATAAATACGATAGTAATTCCTGTGTTAACCTGCAGATGTCTCTGTTTGTCTTTCCCCCTCTTTCTCTCTCTCTCTCTCTCTCTCTCTCTCTCTTTAACTATAAAAAAAAAAGAAAAGAAAAGACAAAAATACAATTCTAAACGTGACGGATACTTACATACATTGGATTTATGTAACGGGAACATCAAACATAAATAAGAAGAATAAATAATATTATATTTTATTATACAATGCTATAAACACTGTAGAAATTTGAATATATTATTAAAAGTCGTAACACGTCAAAATTTAAATATCTGTATTTTGTCCATGTTATTTTCCATCAAAGTACTATATATTGTATAAAAAAATATTCAAAGTGAATTAAAAAAAAACGCTCGTAGAAATTGATACAAAATCTATGCAACAATAAAATATTTGACTATGACAGAAAACGTAAATAAATTGGGTGATTATTTTGAACGTTCACTTAAAAACACTACAAAATCCAATGTAAGACAAAAATTATTGTATCTATCAATTGTTTACTTACTTATTTATTTATTTAGTAAAAAAAAAATAATGTTTCTGCATAGGTTTTAGAATGTCGTGTTTGCGAAGAGGTTTTTACTGTCGATGGTATAAAGGTGCCACGATTGTTGCATTGCGGTCATACAGTATGTCATTCGTGTTTATTACGATTAAGACCATGCATGTTAAATCAACAATTCCTTCTCTGCCCATTCGACAGACAACCAACTGAAATAGATAAAACTGGTATTCTTAGTCTAAAGAAAAATTTTGCGTTGATTGAACTGTTAGAAAAGTTGGAACAGTCTAACAATGATAAAGCTTTTATGTTGGAAAGAGAAAGACTTCAATCGAATCAACCTTGCGACGAAGATGAAAGTCATATGGCTGTACTGTATTGTACAGTATGTACTACTCATTTATGTGAAACTTGTGATGCTACTACTCATTCATCAAGAACGCTTGGTAAACATAGGCGTGTACCTTTATCAGAAAAACCACGTGAAAAACCTAAATGTCCGATACACTCAACGCACATAGCCAATTTCACTTGTACTCAACAAGGCTGTTACAATTCCTTGATGTGTTACTTGTGCAAAGATTATGGTCGACACAGTACACATAAGGTAAATGTTTCTTCTTCGTCTTATAGGTCCCTCTTTTTGACATTTTACCTGTAATTCAAATTATAGTCATCATTGGTCGAAGTGGAAGCCAAGAATATAAGAAAATCAGTAATAGCGGCACTACAAAAGATGACTCAATTTATGGAGAGTATGAGAGATACAGCACAGAAAATAGGTATCTCGAATAATAATACTTTCTTATTTTATTTCTAACCGATAGAAAATATTTCATTCTTTAATACTCTGTTTATTTTAGAAACTGTCATACAAGAATTAGAAGGCTGGGCAATTGAAGATGCAAGACAACGAGTACGTCAACACTTTGAAGAACTAAGAGCATTATTAGCAGAACAAGAAAAGACTGCATTAACGTGTATAGATACAGAGACGCGAAGTAGATTATGTGCTTTAAGACAACAACAAAAAGATTTGACAGTAACGAGATCGCAAGTGGCTGGTGTATGTATTCAATGTGAAAGCATTTTAGATTCTGAAGATTGGAAATTATTGAGCAGTGCGGAAAAAGTTAAAGAAGTTTTAGCCACGTTAGAAAAGCAACAGCAACATTATGCTCAATTAGGGCCTGATTTTCTCAAACCTGAATCATCTATACCTATTATATTTAGCAGGGTTTGTACATTTTTATATTATGTATATTTATAATAATATATTATATATTAAAATGTTCTCTCTTGACAGGACAATCGTGTACATATAGGTACAAAAATTGATATGAGAGCAGTGATCTTAGGTTTGGACGGTGCAGGAAAAACTAGTATACTTTCTGCAATGAGAGGCATTACTCTTTCAGCACCTCCTATTTCAACAATTGGATTTAACGTAGAAAGTATGGAATACGAAAACCTTGTATTCACACTTTGGGATGTTGGCGGTCAAAATAAATTCAGACCTTTGTGGAAACATTATTATCATAAAACGCAAGCTGTTATTTTTGTGGTTGATGCTAGCGATAGATCTCGCTTTGAAGAAGCTCAAAATGAATTGTCTAAAATAGTCAATGAAAAAGAACTGAAAGATGCTTTGTTTTTAATATATGCTAACAAGCAGGTAGAATATTTAAATGCATATTTCACAAATATCTGTATACTGTATATACAATGAAAAGTATTCATTTCAATTATTTTTATTTGCAAAATATATTTTACTCATTTAGGATTTACCAAATTGTGCAAGTGTAGAAGAATTGACAGATATTCTGTGTTTACAAAAGCTTTGTTGTGGACGAGCTTGGCATATTCAAGGATCATCTGTAATTACGAACATTAGTGGAGCTACGCAAGGTCTTGACTGGTTAACTCAACAACTTGGAGCGCATGAGACATTATATACCATACCTATAACATCATGATTGTTATTGACTGTAATTTAATTCAATTCTACAATTTTTAAAATAATAAGGTATTATTATTCATTAGAAACAAAATTATAACTCAAAAATATTGCTCCATTTAAATTTAAATATAGATATTTATATAATCTCTTAAAATATATATATATATGATAAAAACGATATAAGAAATAAAATAAAAAGAACGTGATAATATAGATATATATATATATGTATATATTTATTATAATTTGTGACATAAAATTTCCATGACAACATAACAAACAATTTTTAAGAATAAATAGTCGAATCACATCTAGAAAAGTCTTATTTATTCGTTTTTTATTACATGGTTATTGGTTGTTGGTTGCTTTTGATACATAATCATACCAAATATCATTCAGTCATGTTTGCACACACCCAACACTCTTACCTTTAAAGGGAGCGAGTTTTATTATGCGTACACTGTACGTAAATGAAATAATATATATATATGTATATATATATAATATAGCATCGTTAAATTACATCTCAATTACTTTTAATGTATATAAAAACACTTGACAAACAAAAACGGAACAACTTAGTGTCTTTTATGGAGCTGTGCCGTTGATGGACACGAGAGACAAATATACGAATTTCTATTTCACCGTTTTTTTTCTTTTCTTTTTTTTTTTTTTTCTTAAGTACAGTGTACCTTAGGCAACACAGCACTGACTACTTGCACAATTAACGAAATACTTCACAATTTTTATAGAGACCAAAAGCTTTTCAACTTTAATGTCATCACAAAAATCATCCTTCGATGTGTTCTAAGATGTAATGGGAAGTTTCGTCTGATTAGAAGAATGAAGTATAAATGATTGAAGAGCACTCAATTAATTGCGTTAAGAAAATTTTGGTTTAAGAATAATTTTGTGCCCATGGGAGAGTTAGTGCGTGTCGCAGCCACACAGCTCCTGGAATACAGTCTATCTTTGTGCCCATTGACACAAATATTTACAATTCGTCATGTTCCTGAAAATAAAATAATTGTTTAATTCATTTAAATAATAGAAATAATGATAAATGATACAATACAAATAATATTTTCAGTAACGAGGAATTCCACCTTTTTATCTTTCAGGTAATCGAGAAACGGTTTTTTTCATCATATATATGTGTAATATATTTACAATTAGACACAAATAAAAAATTATTTGTGATCAAATGTTTCAAATGTTAATAATATTATTTTCTATTACATACCTCTACATCTGGAACGGTATTTTCTTCCTCATCGGCATCTTCGTCTTCATCTTCATCTTTGTTATCCTCAGATTCCTTACTTTCTTTTTCTCTCTGTTTCCTTTCTTCTTCATCTAATGCTTCTTTCATTTTCTTTTCTCCTTCCTATAATATACATGGATAAACATTTTTTTAATTACAAGTACAAGAAATTAGAATTTGCTTAATCAATGATACATGTTGAATTCAGTAACGAGGAATTCCAATTAATTGTCCTTCATTTAAAATCAGAGTTATAAACAAGTTCATCATAAATTACTCTCATATTTAATAATGAAATAATATAGTTAGCATATTACTTACAAAAGTTGGTTTCCAAACTTCTTCACCAAATTTACGAGCTACTTCCACATCATCCGTGATCAACACGTTATCGAAAATCGTACCAGATTTGACTTGCCATAAATCAAATCCAATACTACATATTTCATTTCTTAGGTACAATGAAGGATCAGCGGTATATTCTGGGTTATCGATTTCAGGATGAACCCAAGGTCCTTCGTAATTAGGATTGTCAATTTGTTTAGGCTTCCATTCGCCTTTATATTCAGGATTATCAATCATTGGAGCTTCCCATTCTCCATCCATTTCATCGTCCCAATCTTTTGGTTTGGTAGCTTCTGGGTCAGGAATATGTTCAGGCTTGTCCCAATCTTCTGGTTTAGTGTCATTAGGATCTGGAATAGTAGGCTTATCGTCCCAATTTTCAGGTTTGCTTTGTGATGGATCTTTGATTTTCTTTGGTGGCAAGAAATCCCAGTCAGCTTCCAATTCTCCAGATTCTACTTCTTCATTATCAATAAGAACCTAATATAAAATATAATAATACAGTAAGACCCCGTTTAACGAGGCTATGCTTATGCTAAGCTCTGTTTCATTTGCACACATATACAACACAAGTATCAATACAATGTGCGATTTATGGGAACCCCAATACTACCACCTAATACTGAAACAGCGTTAAGTGGGGTCTTACTGTACATGAAATATGAATTAGTTCATAAAATCCAACAAAAAAAGAACGTTATATGAAAAATAATATTTTATATAATAATAATATGTTGACCTTTGCTATATAAATACGATAAGCAATAAAAAAACTTATCCATAATAATTTAGCAAGATAATCTTTTCTCTTCGAGATCCTGTAGCACCCATCCTTTACTATTTATCAAGAATTTGTGACTCTAGGCTCGATTCTTATATATACATACACATAAATTACGACTTATAATTACCTTGTAGGTATTGTCAGGTTTAACAATTAATGTGTACAAATGCGTGTAGACATCATCCTTGCATCGAATATCTTTGTTAATCAACAAATTCTTTCCTTTGTAACTGAAGATGACATGCACTTTCTTTGTGCCCGCTCCACAAATATCAGGTCCTATATAAAAGTATTTTGGACTGATATAAAAAAATAAGATGAGAAATCCATATATATATATAGACATATACATAAATAAATAAATAAATAAATAAAAAAAGAAAATAATATTTAAAAAATACAAATGTATCAACTTAAGGTGACTGGAATACCACAGTGGTATGCCAGGGCATTACGAAGACCATTTTACTTTTCGAGTTCCTATAGCACTTGCCATCCAAATTATAGACTGACCAGTGACTCTTAGGCTCGATTTAAAAAAAAAATTATTATTGAATTCTTACCGAACATAATTTCATAAGGAGTTTCTCCATGCATATCTTTTTGATCCAATTTGCAATCAAATACTTTAACGTATCCTCCACCACAATCGATACTCTGTTCATGTTTAACCGTAAATTGAATAACGAGATCTTTATCTTTATTACTGAACGGTGTAAATTTTCTGCTTAAAGCATAAAACCTAGCATCCTGCGAAGTTTGGATACCTATAATAAACAAATATTTTTATCTAATTACTTACATTTGCACAATTTTAATCATTGAATATTTAATATGGTACACAATATCAAAGAAACACGAAATAATAGTTTGAAAAATATACCTTTATCATTTTCTGGATCGTTCCAAAATTTTCCATGACTTAAGACAAATTTTCCAAATTCTTTTCCTGGATGTTCGGAGTATACCCAATTCTTTTCCCACGAATCTATACATGTAAAATTAATAACATTATATAATAAAAAAAAAAAAAAAAGTCACATCGAACAAACAATACAAATTTTTCCCAAAATTCCAATATACTTTGTAGTAGTTATTAGAAGAGATGTATAAAGCTAATTTGATTTGAATTTTCAATTTATATATTTTTGTTCATTCTTTTTAGAAATAAATGATTAAATGTTTATTAGACATTTAGAAATCGATTAAATAATTATGAACAAAATAACAGTTGCGATTGTGAACTTGAAACACACCATTTGCCACGAGGCAATTTTCTACAAGAATGATATTCATCTAAATGATATATGTGTATGTGACTAATACACAGAGACACACGTATGCATAATATATGTATACGTGTATATCTAGTCATATGGAGTATTAAAATCTATCTTATCGTAGGAAGATCAATTAGATCATTAATTATGCATGAATATATGTACGTGAGGAGTTAAAAAAGCACCTCATGGAAGGGAAAGTACGAATAATTCGTTCTCGCGTCAATTAAGGGAAAAAGATGTGCTCGTTTTTGTCTCATCCCGGTGCGGAGTGAGAGAGATAAGTACATGGCGTAAGTCGACATAAGGCCGGTAATTTAAAGCTTAAAACAATAAATTGTAATAAGAAAAGTTAGCAGGGTGTGGTTCCAGTTGAGAAACGATGCAAAAATGGTGGATGTTGATTTTTCAGGGCTCTACTTAAAGAAAATGCACTCTTAAATGTAATGACAAAAAAAAGATGCAAGATAATGAAAAAAAAAAAACTAGAAAGGAGTTTCTTTTTTTTCTTTTCTTTCTTTTTTCTCGAAGTTTCTTGACTTTCTTCTTTCTTTCTTTTTTCTTTCTCTTTTTTTTTTTTTTTTAAATTAGAATGAAATATCGTTTGTACGTTAAACTCACCATCAGTGAACTTTTCCTCGAAGTAGACTTCCGCAGTGACGAAGGAAATCGTCAGGACGAAAAGAAAAGAGCAAAGTTGTCGCATTTTTAGACGCCGAAACGAAATAGTACGTTCGACGAAGACGTTTACTTCACAACGATCTACCCGATAATGCCTGTACGACGGATGTGGTTGGTAAGTTTAGCACTCGCCGAGATAGACAGATGGAGAACGGTGATTGGCGGGAACCTCTCGACCAATTGGCTCCGACCACGCTCGAGCGATCGTAGTACCCCTACCGTTATCAACGAACGTAGGAACTACTGTACTACCAATAGTTTTTCCTTATCCGTTGTCGATACAACAGAATGACTTTTACATTTTAAATCATCATAATTATAATTATTAATTTATAAATAATTTATATATATATATTATAATTATTTATTTTTTAACTATCGAATAATTTTGTTACTCGTTTATTTCTTTACTTTTTACTTATTAAAATGAATATTATTTTTACATGGAAACAGGAAATACGTGTAAGGAAAGCATTGATTGGTTCTTTCGAAGGCGCCTATTTTGTTTCAAATTAAATTCAAATGTATACATTTGACTATTAAAAGTTATAAATATTAACATTGTGAAATAAGAATTGTAAACGTTTTACTTGTATTCATTAGATTGAAATTAATTTAAAAAACTAATAAATGATGCAATTAAAACATTATTACAATTATAGAAATGTAAATATCGCTATTTCAGATTATTAATTGATCATTAATTTTGAAATTAAATTATGAGAAAATATAAATATTGAAATATCGTTAAACATTCCTTATCTATTTTCTAACAAAATTATAGAATTAGAATAATATTTCTGTTGTCATTTCGAGCATAACGTGTTACCATAGTTACGTACTTGTAGAAACATTATGGCGTCAGTATTATTTTAATCGAGAAACCCTTCAAATATACAAATTTTGAAGTTGATCATACCTAATTCATTCATTTACGTATTAAATTTCTAAGTGTACTTAGAAAAAAAATGTTGCATTCCAAGGCAACTGCAGCTCTAATGCGTTTGAAGGAAATCGATAAAAAATATAAAATGAGAACGGAGGAAAGGTACGAAATGAACTCAAGTACAGAAAATGCAATAACAAGTCCATCAGTGGAAGAATATTCGATCAAAGATAAACCAAAATTAAATGATATAAAAATACCTTTAAAATCTAAACTCGATGTAAGAATGCCTAAAACGCATGTAGAAATGGAACAAGATGAGAAAGAAGAAGAAGAAGAAGAAGAAGGTACGTCACGATCTACAATAAAAGATGAAGTTTCATCGACTATAGTGGTTGATATACAAACAAAATCGGCGGAAAATATAAGCGAAGAATTGTTTAACAACGTCTCATTTTCGATGATCGAAACCAATGAGAATATTTCAACGAAATCAGAAGAAAAGGAAGTTTCTCAAACGGACCAAAATGAAAGCATTGAAATTGAAGAAAATAAAGAAGAAATACTAGAAAAAGAAGTTGAAAATATGGAAGACAAGAACAAAGAGATTATCGTTGAAAATTCATTAATTGATAGTGAATATAGTAATTCAAAAATTTTATCGGAAATAGAAGAATATGAATCGTTGCATGTTGAACAAGCGGTGAACTACGTCAATGATACTTTCGAAGAAGCATCGAGTACGACATTGTCAACGATGAAGTCTAACGATGATCTAAGAGGGACAAATAATGAGTCGTCTAATTTGGAGGAAGAGGAAGAGAAAATTGAAGATAGCATGAGATCTGGCGTAAAGAAAGTTGATATTGTATTAAACAAGGATTTTATACGTGAACGACAGGAAATAGAAAACGCAAGGTATGAGAATAATTCATTTTTATTAATTTTAAGAATAAAGAACTGCAATGTTACTTATTGATCAATCCAATTTATAATGTAAACTTTTTAATAAATTTATATTTTCTTTATATTCCAGTGAAAAACAAATTGTCGAGTTAGTACCACCTAAATTAATAGAAAATACTAGCGAATGTGAAATCGGCCTTAACAAGGAATTATCGAATTACGTTAAAACAATCGAAAGTATTAATGAAGACGTAAGCGACATAACACCCGTTCAACTGTTAAGATCATCTAAACAAATGGAAACGTCTTTTCGAAATCGTAAAAAAAAATATAAACGCCATCCAATAGCAACGAAGAATGATAACGCAACAGATTCTTCTAAAAGTGATAAATCAGAATCGTTGGCCACGTCAAAGAATAATCGTCGATCGTCAAATGTGACCTTGATAAATGATAATAAAAAAACGGATAATCTTCCTCCAAATGAAAAAATAATTCTTAAAAAGAACGAGCAAAGAAATAACGAGGATAAAAGAATAAAATTATCCGATAAAGATAAAGATTCAATTGCAATGTTTTCTATTAATGATCGTCTTCAGATGGATAATAATCTACGAGTGGTATTGATAAAATTATAAAAATAATTTATCTCCTCTTTTTCAATGTTTTCTTATTGATTTGTACGATATTTAATATTTTATTATTTTTCTCATTTCTCAGCATCAGAATAAACGGAAAAAGAAACGAATGAAATCACATGTCTTTCATAGATCCTCGAGAACTGATAAGACAACAGATTTTAACGAAGATAAATTTTCGAGATTTGATATCAAACAAATGTATCGTCTGCAGAAACAAATCTCGAAACTTGTTGCTGGACTTTGTTTTAATGATACTCCTTATGTGAAACAATTTGAACCAATTTTGTTTAAACCTCTCGAATTTCCAAATATTGCTAATTATACTCGTCCTGGTAAAGTAATTTTTTCTTTTTAAATATAATTTTTTTTAAATGCTACATATTTCAGGTTTCATTTTGTATATTTCATTATTTTTCATTTATAGATACGAGTGTTGAATTAACGAAAGAAAATCCGTATATTGAACTTTACGAGAAACTAGCTACAATAAGACACTGGCTTAAAGATCAATATAGTTTCTATCAAGTTCGTAGTAATTTGATACAGATAATTAACGAGAAATACGTTCCAATGAGCCTCGAAGACGCGAAGACGGTGAGAGAAGAATCTCTTGGTTATCATCATCTATTAATTTTCCAATTAATCTTAATATCATTATAATAAATAATTAACAAATTCTAGGTGATACGACAATTACAAAAATCACCAATCGAAACGAGATAACGATTATTCAAATACAAAATTTTCTATAGCTGAAGAAAACAAAAATCTGATTTATAAAAATAGATAGATTTAGATATTTTTTAAATAGAAAATGAATTGTATCTTTTTGTGGTATCTAGATTTCTTTTACCTATATTATTGCGTTTCACTGACAGATAATAAAGTGTCATTTGTAATAAAATAGAAGATTATAGTATAAAGTTTGACATACGTCGTCAAGTATATATATATATATATATATATATATATGTCCATATACCTATATTTCATATGACTAGATGCAAAAATTCATGGCTTTTGATGAGCTTCGATCAATGAGAGTCTACCTTTGCTAGAATTCATCGGAGCAAGCCGATATACACGTGCGTATAACGGATGCGCAATGGTCCAGTGCGTGGGGGTGATTACCGGCGTACTTCCATTGATGTGCCATAGTCACGCTCAGTTCTCTCCTTCTTCTTTAGTGTTTTACGAACCTTCTCCGTGTCGAGAGGGTTTAACGAACTTCCTCATATGACGTATCATCGATACATTTTATCAGCTTCTTTATTATTTATCTGAAATATTCAATCAATTAATACATTTTCAATTAATCGTTATTCAATAATTAACATTTTTAAGTATGTCAGTGTTATCTCATTTTGATTCGTACTAATAGCTAAACATTCAATCACATAAGAAGAAAAAGAAGAAAAAGAAGAAGAAGAAGCGCGGGCTTTCAAGATTCATCATTGTAGTACTCTTAGGTAAGTTTTTGTATCGATTAAACAATTAACATTGTTAATAAATTATAAATATTTTTTTCAAAATATTCTTTGGTGTCAGATCAAATTTTGTCGTAGTTTAATTCAATTGTTCTTGAATTTGAATTTTTTGAACGTGTTGTAAAGATAAACATCGAATCCTGAAAAAAAAAGAAACAAGTATATTATTGTTTAAATAATTTCGATTAAATATTGACACATTATATTAATATATATGTATTAATACTTAATTATTGTCTTCCTGTTTGTTTTGATAAATTGCTTCAATGCAATATAAAATGATGTCTGTTAGAAATCGTGTGTGTTGCAATGAAATTGGAGCGATCATGTTGTTGAATACATTTCAAAATCCTGACACAACATATTATCCTTCGAAGGAAATGAATCGAGGTTGATCGCGAATGACGTTTCACCTATGCAAGAAAATATTTTTTTTTTTTTTTAAAGCTCGTCTAACGTCTCATTTAAACGAGGAAATAACTTTGATATTATGTCGATTTGTAAATAAGATTCTTTAATATCCGTTTCTTGCAAATTTTGAAAAGATTTATTATGTGCTACTATACAATTCTTTTTTTACTTTTGTATACAATAGATAAGATTTATTTCTTTTTTTTTTTTTATGTACCCATTGTATAAAAGAGTTTTACGAATGTGAGATTATGACCAAAAAATATTAGATATTGTGATAGAAATTGTATTATTCAAATAATCTTGTTATTTTTCTTATAATAATATTATGTTCACACATATACGTTCTTTATTTAATTACATGGTTTTTTTTTGTTTTTTAATATCTTCATTGAACTTTCTTTGTTAAAAATAATATCATAGTACAACCTTTAGAAAAAGGTCAGGGTAATAGTTAGAGAGGTCAACCGAGTGCAACACAAGTGTTCTATGTTGGATCGATAGATCAGTCACACAGGCCGCGCGTATGCTATAATATTAATTAATTAAATCATCGGCAATTTTGATTTACTATACTTAACGGGTCATTTGCAGAACCCTACCCTTTCGATGCTTTAAGCTAATATAAGATACATCTTTTCTATCTTCTTCAATAAGAATAAACATGTTGCGTTTCTTAACTTTAACTTTTATGTACACACGTATACTTTACTTTACTTTACTTCCATAAAATAACAAAATCAACGACGTGTAATTAAAAAAAAAAAGCTCGGTTAGAACGAACAAACGATTACTCGAACTTTGATATTTACGATCCAGGATACTTGTTGTAATCGATAAATTGCGTTGAAAAAAATATTCATTATTAGAATTCCATACGATTGACCTGCATCCTTCTTCTATCTCAAGACGCGTCCATTTTATGTATTACTAATTAAAAAAAAAGAAAGAACACTTTTTCTTTTTCTAATTGATGACAGATATTTTCTTACTTCTTCATGCTGCAATCGATGAGTTGGACGATATGTATTCTATTTCACGTTTGTTTGTAATTTTCAAGCAAAAAATGTCTACATAAGCATCCTTGAATTTATTTTTCTTTACAATCTCTGCTATCTAAAAAAAAAAAAAAAATATTAAAAAGTATTTATAAATGGATACGAAGAAATAAATATTGTGTAAACATATATGGAATATTTTTATTATATTTATTTATAATTTTTATCATTTATTTCTATATATTATATTATTTTATTCCATATGTATGGAATATATGGAAATATAGTTTCTATCATTTCATATCTTCGTATTCATTTTTATATTCTTCTCAAAGTTGCAATAAAAATTCTCACAATGTGAAATAATAACAATCCATTAATAAAGTGCGTAAATATTAAAATATGAGAATACTTAATTCGTTCATTAGTAGAGTTTTACTTATCGAGTATTGTCGGATGAACTATTCAAAGCCGATTCAATTAAAGATAACATGAGAATAACTATTTTTATTGAATTTTTTTTCTCATCTCTTAGATTGAAATCAAATGAATTTTGAATTGCCCATTAATCAACACTCTCTCGACATCAATTACAGTCTCAAGTGGATTCGCAAAAAATTATCATTTTCGAAAGTGGATCTCTCGGTCCATAAAAGTTTCAAAAGCCCTAAGTTAAAATATTATAGTATGATAATCGAAGTAGTAATGGTAAATTACATCGATCCGTTGCAATAGATATATTAATGAAATATAGAACTTTGATGTTGTTTTTTTGTTGTTGTTGTTGTTGTTGTTGTTGTTTTAAAGTCCCATATCTTTTTCCACATTTTCTATGGTTTCTCTCAGATCGCTTATAAGTGAATCGGAAATTACTTGAGAACGATCAGTGATGAGTCATCACGTGTATGTCGAGGGGTTGCATTGAATAAGCGTTGATTATGTTATTGGTACGATTTAATGTTTTTTCTTCTTTTAAATGTATACTCGATATTATATCTGAAATAAGATATGTGTAAATAGAATAAATTGGAATAATTTTTATTCTTTGCAAATTTTAGAATAAGAGATGAGTTTTATTTTTTATTTTTAAAGAAAAGGTATATCGTGATATAATATATTTTGAAATATCAAATAAATTATAAAAGAGATAGGAAAAGAGAAAGAGAAAGAGAGAAAGAGAGGGAGAGAGTGACAGCAACAGCAGGATAGAAATAGTCCATGCTGGTTTCAAACATTCCTCGGGCACAAGTCGTTTTTGTTTTTTCAAAATAAAGTTACTTGTGCACTCTTTCCTTCCTTTTTGTACAGCGTCGAAGAACACAGACGACTAAAAATACATTTTACTCGATGAAAGGGAAAAATGGTCTCCTCTCATGGTTCAGGATCTCGAAGGTTGAGAAAGTTCATTGCACGTTATATATATTCAACATATATATGTATATCAACATATTATTTCTCAAACTGCACAAAGCTGTATTCTGATCTGTAAATAACAAAAAAAAAAGGAAAAAACTAGAGAAAGAGGGAAATATATTGAAAAGAGAACTATAAAGTAAAGAATATTCTTCAACGAGACAAGGCCAAAATAAAGTTTGCCAAGTCCATTTACCTAACCAGTAGTTTCTGTTTTCACTGTTCACTGAACTCAACGAAGGCATCATTGTATAGAAAGGACAATGGCTTTTCATTCAAAGTATTGACGTATAAAACAGACATATCTATTTTTCCAGTAACTACAATTACTTTATTTTAATATTTCTGTAACAATGACATTACGTGTAAAATAATTCAATTTTCAAATTTAATGTGTCTATGTAATGTAAAATATTACATTTTATTATATTTGCAATAAATTGAATTAATTTGAAAATTGGAAAATTAAACCTTTCTCTTAAAAGATATTAATGATACAATAGCGGCACACAACACACACCTAAGAAGTGCAAAGTGTTAATATATTTTTATTATTACTTTGCATTTCTATATGTATATGTATTGTGTATATATATACCACCGTCCACATAGTATTTACGCGAGACGGCGAGACGGCTTCATGCAGCGTTATAACGTGGCGGGAGAAATAGGCGGTTAAAGCGGCGCTCCCACGAGCCGGGAACCAACAACAACGATGCCGACATCTTCTGACGTTGCCGGCGTCATCGACCACCATGATCCCTCTTTAGCTTGTCTCCTCTTTCTCATTTTCTTTTTACCTCTCTTCCTCTTTCTCTTTAACTTCCCTTTTTCCTTTGTCATATTCACTGTCTCCTTCTTTGTTGCATTCACGTGTATCCATGAATAATAACACAAAAAGAGAAAGAAAGAAACACATGTACATATATATATATATATTAACAGTGAACAGAGCGTGTCAGATCATACAGAAAGGCATATAAATTCTCCTCCCTCTCAGAGAAAATTCACTGAGATTTTGGTAGTGTCACGATAATCATCTTCAAATCCAATTAATCTTCGTTATACTACCATTGTGCTTGTTACAAGTTTTAAATAAGATTAAAGCACAGACTCTTTGTTTAATTGTAAGAAGAGAATACTGACCACCGAAGCTTTGATTTTAACTGAAAAAAAAAAAAGAAAAAATCTCGAAGAGAAAATAATCATTATGTTAAAGAAGAAATGATTTCAATCACGTGACAGGAATCAGGGAACATTGTCAGACATATAATTTCATTTGATACCCCCATGATTATCATGACTTTCTTCATATGAAATGTTATTATTAGGACCGGTCATCCTGACTTTTGTTCGACCATTCGTTATTTCAATTCATGAAGAAAGATATTATTACTTTTGTATAAATGTATTTGATAGTCGATAATGCAGATCCTCGTCATCCATCCCTTTTAACTTTTATTACTAGTTCATTGTCTCTTCGAAGGTTTCATAAGTATTATTTTTTTTCTTTCATTCTTGTTTTTATCTTCGTCTTCTTCTTCTTCTTTTTCTTCTTGCTCTTCAGATTCTGTCTTCTTCCTTCCGTCAATCTTTCCTTTCTTCTGGGAGTCCCTCAGAAAGGCCTCTCGCTTTCGCACTGGATCACCTTGGTTGTTGTGTGTTACTTGACGAAGACGACGACTCTTCACCTTACTTACTTATTATTACTACCTCAGCAAGATCGAATCTCTCTCATAAAATCAATGGAAGAACGTCTTCCTTTCTTTTCCTCGCAATGAGTTACTAACGTCATCTAAAAATAACGGGAGTGGAACATCACTTACTTTCAATAGGAAAAAAAAAAAAAAAAAACTGAAAAGTAGACAAAACGAATAATGTATAATATACTTACATTGATTTTAGAATCTTCAATCTATGCACCTGCAAATGTGTGTACACATACATAAAACAGATTTAAAGAAACATTTAAAGATTGTTTCAATTGAATTACTGAGAGAAAGATAAAGAGAACATAAAACATGGCAGTTAGTTCAAGCAGCATGCGAAAGGAACGATTTTCACCATGCAACATTCGATCCTGAATATAACCCGTTTACGTCGCCCACGCAATGTTTCTAATCTCTCGATACCTTAACACACACACACACAGGGTGTTCTTTTAATTACTATTATAAACACCATAATATCATTTTATTTAATCCATATATAAAAAAAAAAAAATAAATAAATTGTATACTATACAATTTTATCTTGATCAAATATTGTTTGCACAAAAATGTATTTAGCATTTCATGAAGATATTTGATTCTACATTTTTTATTTATTCTATATGGAATCGATATCTTTGTACCAAAGGAACACCCTATGCGTATATATATATACACGATAAGTACGATACACTTCGCATAACCATGGAACCCTATTCGCTTTAATATATGTGTGTGTTTATTACGAAATCCAACCGAGTTACCCAAGATCCCAATGTGACCGGCAGTTTCTCTTTGTTCCAATGACTGCCTTCTAAATAATCAAACAAATCTGTATGTGTTCCCTTGTTGTTTTCGATGGGTACGTTTCGATGCGTTTCCGTTTGTAAAAAGAGAAAAAGAGAAAAAGATAGAGAAAGAGAGAGAGAGAGAAAATGTTCTTACGGATAAGAACTCGGTAATCCGATAAAAATCTTGAACATTTAGCAATAAAGAAATACTGTGTAAGTACTTCCGGTTGATCTTAAAGATAATTGACTTTCAGCGTGATTTTATTTTCGATGAAATATAAAATAAAATGAAAAACAAAAACAAAAACAAAGATCTTTTATGATCTCTTTATAGGGAAGATACCTTACACATCGTTCTTCTTCATCCTGTTGTCCTGAATGTTCTTACTTATACGCAGGACACAATATAAGAGGACAGGCCAACTGGAATCCAGGCGAGCAAAGACCGCCAGCTTACGTACTGCAGGTTGCATAACGGTTTCGCACAACATCCAGTATATAGTATCCGATGTCTGTGCAAAAGAAAAACATGTCTATGTGTATATATAATTCATACATATATACACATATATATATATATTTATTTCTCGGTCATATACATACACTTGTTTCGAATCACGAAAGAAAGAAAGAGAGAAAAGAAAAACAGAGAAGAATATAAAAAAAAAAACGAGTTTTTAAGTAACTTAACTTTTAAATAACGTTTATCGATCAGACGATTTTTTTCTTTCTTATTTTTTTCAGTTTTTGTTTCTTTTTTTTGTTTTTGTTTTTTTTTATTAACGAGTTCATAGATTGAATCTAATCAAGTTCGTTGCTATAAAAGTGTATAACCATTTCAAGTATTATCTACTTTGAATATTCTAGAACGAGTGTGTTATATACTTACGTGTACGGAGATAGTGAATTTTGTATCGACAGTTTCAAATAATAAATCATATTGGGAACGTCAACCCATTGAATTGGAACAAACGGTGACAATCGCTTTAAAACGAGAAAATTATAGACTCGGTAAGCATTCGAGCAGAACAATATTTCTTCTTAGGTCTATTAATAAAGCAAGTATTATAATATATATTTAAATATATTTATTAAATAACAATATACGTTAAATATTAATATTATAATTATTATTTGTATATATTTATATACTTACTTTAATACTTTTACCAAAATATATGATAAGAAAATAAAAGAAAGAAAGGAGAGAGAGAGAGAGAGATGAATTCTTCTGAAGGAAAATTACTTGAAGGTAGTCTTCTATTTTGTTTTAACGTCCTATGTATGTAAAACGACTTAGTCATCTATTTTATTCTTTCGAACGTCTAGAATAATAATTAACGAGAAAAGTATGCAAATGTAAAAGATAAATAAACGTATGTATATAAGTGTCTACGTCTGCAGTCAAAGATATTACCGTTCGATGGTCGAGCATTAAATTATATATCACAAAGACAACTTCTTCTTCTTATTTTTCTTCTTCTTCTTCTTCTTCTTCTTCTTCTTCTTCTTCTTCTCCTTTGGTACACCGCATCCTCGTCGTCTTCTTAAGGTTCTATCTTTTCCTTTAGAAGATCCAAGTCTCTCAACCGCAAACGACTCACTCCATTTCGTGTGAAAGTAACCATTGCTAAGATCATCGGATATCTTCGTGTACTTCCTAAGAAACCAAAAAAAAAAAATAACAAATGAATCGAAACATATGCTCATTTGATCGTTATAAAATTGATCTCAACAGAAATGAAATTAGATATGATCAAAAGAAAGGAGGATTACAGGAGGAAGTACACCCACAGTATATAAATTTGATGTCTACTGTCATATTTTACTTTCACACGTTCGAAGATAGAAACGAGTAGTAATTCGTTCATTTGGAAGGATTTCTGTGTGATTTTATCTTAAAAAAGAAAATTAATAGACGCGAAAGTCGCATACAATTGGGATTAGAAAGATATAGAGAAAGAGAGAGAGAGAGAGAGAGAGTGTCATCATAAACCACTTGTAAGAAATGATTCTCAACTTTTGCTCAGATTGAAAAGAGAAACGAAATCGAGAGAGAATTTTCTCCAATGTAAGAGAGAGCTCTATGGATTCGCATTAATTGCGAATCAAATTTATATCAAACTACCGAGAGATCAATGAAAATTGAGAGAGAGAGAGAGAGAGAGGGAGAGAGAGAGATCGAGAAGGTAATATACCAATCATAATAGATAATAATACATCATTTATAAAAGAGAAAAGTTAATCTATCATCGAAATCAAAAGTAAATGCAAAAAAGTGTATGACAAGATGTTATAAATGTTATCAAATACGAAACTTAACAAAAAAGAAATTCATCCCCAAAGAAAAAAAATGAAATAATCAATTAAGTAAAAGGAACCATAATTATCTTACTACACAATTTAATTTATAATACTTTCGAAATATTATTGTCTTTTCTCTCTCTCTCTTTAAGTTTAATGACCTATTACAATATTATCATAATATGATTAGATCCTTATAATATTTAACTTGTCTATGATTATTTCAACGTGTTGCTTTTGTGAAAGTGTTCGACTTGTGTTAAATTCGTCTGGACGCCCACAATACGAGGATCCGATAGCAAACACGCTGCCCAAGTAGAAAAAAAAAAGAAATAAGAAGAAGTGTATAAAAAAGGAAGAAGAAGAAGAAGAAGAAAAGGTGGAGGTGGAGGTAGAGATGGTAGGTAGAGGAGGTAGAAATGGAAGTGGAGGTGGAGGAAGAGGGTTGGTTACACTTTTCTCTTATGTAATGCAACTTGAGGTTTCTGCTCGGTCTAGCGTATACACTAGCCGCCTTACAAACTGAAAACAAAACGGAGAGGGCATTGTTTCATACATACGGTAATGTTGTTTCTTCGTTCGTTCATGAAGAATAAAGAAAGATATTTTTAATGGAGAAAGCGATTCGATGATAAATAAATAACCAACGTCGTTTCATCGATTTTCTACAAATTCGTTGCACTCTCTTATGAATAATGTCATCCATGTCTTTAGTTGCCTTGCCTAATTTCCTATAAATTAATATTGTTATTATAAATGATAATTTGATCGTGTTAAGGGTTGGTTAATTGGAGTATAGATATACTATATACATGTGTTCGCAATCGTTCGTACGTAAAACATAGGAGCTCCTAAGGTTACGACCTCACCCGATGAACAACAACGCCGTTAAGAGTGTAGAATACTGCGAAGGTTCCATCGAAGAAAACCGGTATTTAAGAGTCAATGAGAACTGGTTCGTGAAGAGAATATGATGTCACTTTCGTCGGGCATAGTACATGTATGTTGTATACCTGAACAAAAATCAAAGAAAAAGAAAAAAGAATAATGAATGTTATATACGTTGATCGAATAGTAAGAGATAGATTAAAGAGAAGTTAGATTTTGATTTTCTATTATTCAGGGACATGTTGTGAAGTCCCTTTATTATTCTACACAGGATAAGATCGTTTCTTGAAATGAGCGCAAGGCTAGTTTGTTGATCAAGATTATTCAAAAGATATTTCCTAAATTTTATATTGTGTTTTATTTAGTTAGTTTTGTTATGCTTATTTTCTTAAAAAAAGGAGAGAAAAAAAACAAAGAAAAAAATTAATTTTTGATTGATAATAAAAACAGGAAGGAAGACGATCTTTTCTTCGTCGATTCACTTTATGAATTCAGGACTCTTGTCGGCAAGAGATGGAAGGGAGCTAGGGTTCACCTTTCACCCTCGAGTAACTGTATAACGATGGAAAGTCAGATTATGCCAGGAGAGGTAGACGCCTGGTTAAAACCTGCTTCGATTACGCGTCGATTACTGGACTATCACGATGAACACGAAGGAGAGAGGCTTCTCTTCTCCTTTGTTTCACTACTCTTCGCCTGCATCAGAATAATATACATATATATATATATATGTAAAAAGATTTCTTAATATATCAACATGAATTTTGTACTAGAAAATAATGGAGAAAGAAAGAAAAAAAAAATAGAAAAAGTTTACGTAAGCCGTTTCCGTTTCATATCGCTTAACTTTCAAACGTTTCTTATCTTGATTAAAACTCTTAGAAAGAATAAGAAGACGGATGTTTCTTTTCAAAATAAGTATTTTCTTGAGATTCAATTGATCAGTTATTTAATCATAACGAGTTAATAAAAATTTCGAAAAAAAGAAAGAAAGAAAAATAAGATAGTATTCTTCGTTATTGTTTGAAATAAAAAAAAAAAAAAGTGTTGAAATTATTTGAATTAACTTGAAACGCTGTTGGTCATTAACATTTAACGTTTCTTGATTTGAAATAAAACTCGGAAGAGCAAGCAAGTAGTTCGAGTAACGTCTCCTCAACAACAAACTCCACGGAGTGAAGGATTTACTCCGTGCACTGAGAGAACTCGATCGTGATTCAGTTTACGAAGAGCGTGGGCGTCGATAACCAAATTGTGGTGAGGTGAGAGAGAGAGAGAGAGAAGTTTAAGAAGAGGAAAGAAGGGTTTATACGTTCCTCGACGACGAAGAGCACGCTGACGACGACGACGACGACGACGACGACGACGACGACGTTCTCTTCACGATACCCCCAAGTGAAAGTCTCGAATGGCTGTTCAGTCGTGTGACGACGTTCAAAGTGTTCGGATTGTTCTTTCACGTTCGTTCCTTATATACATCAACATCCTTTTTCTTTCTATTACTTCCTATTCTTTTCTTCCTTTTTTTTCTTTTGCGCTTAGTTTCCGTCAATTCGCTGGCCTTGAACGGTAAAAGATGATGCGTATCTCCTGACCAAGGACGATCAACGTAAAAAGTAACTCGTGCAAACTGTAAATGGAAATGCAACAAGAATTTATTAACAAGTTAATTTCTTGTGTGTGTTTTTTCAACAGAAAAATAAATCAATATAAATAAATATATTGGAAATGTTCCTTTATTCGCAGTGTGCATTCGATGATAGATCTCACCCCACGTGAAAAGAAGTTTTATTCGTAACAAACGTTTCTTTTTTTTTTCTTTTTGGAGGAAACTATTATAATTCGTCGTAAGTACTAATTGATTATTATATTTTTGTTTGTTTGTTTGTTTTATACAGGAATTCTTGAAGTTGAAATAAACTCATCTATTGTTTCTTATTTGGAAGATGATATTATCAATTCGACAGTAGATCAAAACAATTGTTGTCAGACAGGTTGAAACACTAAATCCGACGTTTTATTTTTCTTATTCTTATTCTTCCAAATCAATTTTTAATTAATTTATTCATTGTTTATCATTTAAACATGTCTAATATATTTCTGTTATGTATTTTTATTCTTTAATCCAAACATTGTTTATTAATCAAATAAACGTTTAGACGAAAAAAAAACAAAATTTACTTTACAAGAAAATTAATCAATATATTAAACTTTTATCCATATTGGACCATTTTTGTCGATATTACATTTTTTAATAACCGCTCGTGATGTTGTCAGAATTACGTATATTCGTAGAGATATAGTAATACTCGTTCGATGGAACCAGTCATACCGGATAATTTCTTTTTATTTTTTTAATTTTTTATTTGTTTCTTTTCATAAGGAAAAAATATGGATAAATTCTGAGAGAACGTGCATATTACAAGCTATATGATATATATGTATATATATATATATATACATATACATATATAATCTTGCTTGTAACCAAGTCGAGAGTCAGTCTTCAACAATTGTGAAAGGTTTAACCTCGGATGTAGTAAAACAACTTCGCAAATAGAACTAATATCAACTCATCGAATTTGTTTTCGACCTTTCACGAATAATAGCAAATTATAGAAAATAAATATATGCATGATAGTCCCCCCTCCCACCCGCCTCGCCCCAGAAAAAAAGAAGAAACAAAAGATTGAAAAAGATTTAAATCGTTTCTTTCAATATAATAAAATCAATCCGCCCGCGAAATCATTTCCGCTAATAAATAATTCTTCAAATATGATAACATTTAACCAATTTTTCTTACGTACAAATAAAGAGAGAGTTATTACATTATGTAATATATATATACCTGTACCGTCCACGTAATTAACTAGATAAAATGATCATTGAAAATAAAGCTAGGTAGACTTTTTGTAGGTGCATGAAACGTAATAAAAAGCGGTTCATCATCCCATATGTCGCTTGACCATACCGGTTTCAAAGTTGAAAGACAGAAGAGAACAGCTTCTCTGACTTAACGTTAGAAATCATCATTGTTTTCTCATCAACGCTATCATCATCATCATCATCATCATTTTCTTCGTCCTCATCGTCAAATGTCTTGATTATACCATAACGAACTTGGTGCTTGGAAGATGAAGCTAGAAAATAAAAAAGATGTAAGGAAGATGAACAGAGAGAGAGAGAGAGAGAGAGAAGGAGGTTTGGATAAAATAGGACATGTTGAGATGTACTCTCTTGTCGTCTATCACTACCTGGATAAACCTGGAAAGAACTCGAGAGCCCGTTCGTTCGGGGCTGCCTGGCAACGAGTTCGCCTCCGTACGGCGAAACGACAGCAAGCGGATAAACGAACGGTGCTTCCAGGAGATCAGCCGAGCAGGAGTCCTTTCACGTAGCCCCTTCTTTTTGCGGTTATCTAACGATACGTGCGCGTTTGTTCGGTCAGCTGGTTTGCGGAATTGTTCGTTTTATGTATATATATATATATAAGAGCTAGTGGTGAGAACTTAGACGACAGTTAGGGATACATTTTTTAGATGGTGGCTCAGGGTTAATGTCTGGAAAATATTTCTTCTAAAATTAAAAACATTTATTTGAATAATCAATCTTTTTCTAAATGTATGAAGGACTTACCGATGATAGACATGTAGTCATTTGCGTTTTCAAATTGTGTTTGATAGAAACAGGAAATATCGGTGATGATAGATAAGCTGATAGGTAGACTTGGATTAGATTGATGGATGATCTATGAGGATAAATTGACTAAAAAATATTTGTATATAATTAATATAAATGTTTTTCTTTTGAATTTAACAATTAATTATATTATTTAAAATTTAATTATAAATATCATTTATATATATTTTCAGAACATATCTAATCTGACAAATAAGAAGATGGCAAGACAACAAACAGCCGATCGAAATATACCTCATTTACGTGACATTTTTGGTTTTGGTAATAAATGGGAAAATACGCGTATGCAAGCCGAAGAAAAAGCTACTGGGCACGACAGCGCAGTTTCCGTAGGTTCTACTTCTGGGGAAGAAGAAAGTCCGAAGAACAGTAAGAAAAAGAAGACCAGAAGACGGGACAACAGTAAAACCCTTACTGAAAGCGACGTTAAACATTTGGAGAGACATCTTTCAATGAAAAAGACGATACGCAAGAAGATAATGCGTGATCTTCAACAAGCTTTTGTTGAAGATCCTAATGAGTTTCGCGTCGATGATATACCACCGGAACAACTCAAAGCTGAAATCAATATTCAGAGTCTCAGTTTCGGTACGCCATCTCAAAAACAAGGACGCACGCGTGGCAATGCTGAAAGCACATTTCTTGATATGCTCAGAGCAGGTGGTGGTAAGACATCCTTATTTTGTTCTCTTCTTAACTCTGGAATTATATTTAATTAAAGAATTAATTATTTATTTATTATTTTCAATAGGTTTAGAAAAAAATGGTACAGATGGTGATAGGGATTCTGGACACGGTGGTTCACCAACAAGAGAAACACCCAGTGCCCAAGATACAGATGATGAATGCAGCTATAGCTATGATACTCCAACAGCGATGCCACCGAAAAAGAGCGGCAACTTTTGGAGACGTTTCACTATGAAAAATCGTAATAAACGATAAGGATCAATCGTGTTTGATTATAATTACAGAGTTTCGTTGACCAAACTCAAGGATATAAACTCTATATTGATATTTATTAATTTCCACCCTTTATTACCATCGTACCAACGTAGTTCGAGCAGAAATTTGCAACTGTGATATGCATTGAAGTTCAGTCCTATTCCCTTTTGGAGAAAGATTCCTTATCCTTGTTTTTCTCCTCTCTCTCTCTCTCTCTCTCTCTCTCTCTCTCTTCTTGTCTCTTTCTCTCTTTTCCTTATTTCTATTGTAAGATTTTAAGAAGTTTCCAATAAAGGCTTTATCATAATGAAAAGCATTAAAAATTAGAGACCAAGTCTATTTTAAGAAATTAAAGTAAAGACAAGTATACACACACACACACACACAAAAGAATATTTTGAATAAAATAAGAGCATATCAAAAGAAGAAGAAACATTTGAAAACATTCGTTATTCAATATTTCTTCAATTTTTTCATCTTAATGACAATCACTTGTATTATTATATATAATTGAAGAACAAACATGACGACAATACATCATATATAGTAATAAAATGTAACATAAAAAAGTATGAAACATTTTCTACTCGTATACAATATACAAGAAAAACTGTATGGACCACTTTATACGCTATGTATTTTATATATTGTATATTATATGGAAACTTCTTAATGATCTGCATAAAAACATAATCAATTATGTATACTTATAATAATAAGCACAATACAAATTTTTTGGATGTTTATTACTATTAAAAAATAAGATGAGAGTGTCGAATGTAAAATATTAGTTTTTAGTATCTATAAGAATAGATAGTTTTCTTAATGTGTTGTCTAAAATCAAGTGAATATGTGAATTTTGAGAAATATATGTATAAATATATTTGAAAATGTATACATACACTAACGCATGACTTTGGTATACGTGCATATTATTAGTATTAGCTAGTCAACATCGTTCTTAAATAAATTTATGCAGTATATCACATAATGATCTTTTAAATTAAATTCAAATAGGAAAGCTTCAACTGCAGGAACAAAAGCTTTCTGCAATTATATAATATTTACAACATCGCTTTGAAGAAAGAAATTTATATTACATTTATAATCAACTTCAAACAACAAATTTCTTCTTAACTATCTTTCTTAATCAGATAACTCTTTCTTTTTTTTTTCATTATAAAATGAATCTGTTTCTTTTTTCAGCTCTACAAATAATTGAATTATACAATTATATAATTACTATTTTTTCTTTTAACACCTTTCACATTACATTAATTAATTCATTGACAATAACAATTTATATATATATATCTCTTATTATTTATTTTCATTCGTTTCGTTTCGAGCGTCACTTATAGACGGCATTCATCCAGATGAATCTATGAGTACAAATTTAGTACTGTCAGGCCCAGACCCTTTGGAACTCTTCACCACAAAATTCATTAGTACTTTATAGCGATCATTGACCCCTCACTTTCTCGTTACCAAGCATTATAGTTCACCATCTTTATATATATATATATATGTACTCATGTAATCTCTCACATAATTATATATTAAAATATTACATTTAAATTGACGGTTACGCCCAATTAATTGTTACCAATTTATATCGTAAGGTAGTGTTATCACTATATCATTGGTAGAAACATCATTCACCTTTACAATCCGTAACCATTAGCTTTAACAATAAGTAAAGAATAAATATGATGTCTATTGAAAATTGGCAATCTGAAGAACTCAGGAGACAAATGTGTTAACGAAGATGTAAGTATTATCTTTCCTATCTATTTATGGAATGGAGAACTACAAATATAATACAGCAAAAACCAAGGGGTACATGGCTTACATTTATATCACAACATTTCCTATTTCTTATAATATTTTTATATAGTTATCTCTCTCTCTATAATTTCGAATAACTTAAATTTATTTGAAACAATATAAACGTAATAGAAGCAAACATGTAAATTATATCAATATTTGTAGTTTTTCATGAAATTCTCTTGTACTTATTCAAACTATTAAAGAGAACGTGTCTTTTTACCGCCTTTTTTGGTCATTTCTTCGAACGGATCACCCATCCATATTTACTAACCATGTTTACGTTGCTTAACTTCAGTGATGTAACAGGAACTAGAAATACAATGTAATTAGGCCGTTGACGAAAATTTGATAAATATGTGTATTTACGTAGTCTCAAATAATTAATTAAAATAAGTAATTATACATTATAAACGTTACATTTAAATTGACAGTTACGTACAATTAACTGTTGAAAATTTATTCCACGAGGTGGAGCCACTTAAGCATATAAATCATGTATATACAATATATGTCATTTGTGTTTTTTCTGTTTTAATGTTTATGTGTAAACGAAAACTTTTAAAGTAGGATTAACGTGAGTGAAATAAATACGATCGTGGCAATAAATAATTAAAATAATTGTTAATAATTAATTAATAATTAAATACACAAAAAATGGGGAAGTCACGTAATGGAAAAGCTGCAGTTATATTGACGCTAATTGCTTTCATATTTGTGGTTATTGCATTTACCACACCCAATTGGCTTGAAACGGATGGTAAATTGGAGAATCCAACATTTAGAAAAATAGGTAATTAATTTGTATTAATTTTTTGATCACTTTCAAAAATGAATTTCATGTTTTTATTAATAATATTCTTAATTATATATTTAATGCATGAACTGAAAGAATGTATATTATTCATAATGAGTCAGAGACTATAATAATTATAATTAATAAAAGTGTTCTTTCCTTAGGTTTATGGCAAGTTTGTTTCCAAGGTTTCGAAGATCCTCATCATCTATATGATACCAGATTTTATGGTTGCTGGTGGGTTTTTGAAGAAGAATATTATATCATTCATGATATTCTTTTACCTGACTTCTTTGTTGCAACACAATTTTTCTTCACTCTTTGTATGACGTTGTTGTTAATCGCTGGATTCTTAACTATAACATATACTTGTTGTTCAAGAAACCATGAAAAGTTTCAATTGCTTTTATGGACAACCGGTGGATGTTTATCATTATCTGGCCTATGTGGTATTATTTCTGTAATAATATTTGGTGCCAGGGGTGATGGACGCGATTGGTTACCAAATTGGGAGCATAATGATGTCAGTTGGTCATTCGCTTTAGCAGTCGTTGGTAGTTTCATATCAATCACAGCTGGTATATTGTTCTTAATCGAAGGCCGTAGATATAAAAAGAAAATAGAAAGAATATTGAATGAAGAACAAAAAACTCACACTACTATTTAATATATACGTGTTTCCATATAATGTGAATTTTGCTATTTTAATCATAGATGAGATTACATTTAAATATTTGTAATGTTAGGACATGTGTGTCCAAAAAATATGCGTCGCATTAATTACAAATAAGAATCCGTCCAGGCACAAATACTGCAATCGCTATATCTGATATAGTTAATTGCAATATATTTATAGATCTATATATCATTTATTCTAGGAGATAATAGAAGGACTAATAATTGTATACATGTTAATATAATGTTATTTTATCATTTTATATACAATGTTATGCTATATCTAAATTTATATATGTGTTTTAAAACACTTTCACAATTATATACTTTAAATCTTAAGAGATTATAGAAGAAAGACTATATATATATATATATATATAAATCATCAAATTCTAGAAAATATTTAGATAAAGTTCGTTGCATTTTATTGACTTGTACGTCAAGTATTATTAATTCCGTCCGTAATAATATTATTTTTTATATAAAGAAAAAAAAGAAAAGCAGTAATATACTTGTAAATATAAACTATTGTATATAAAGCTTTTATAGTTTCCACACAAACAAAAAAATCTAAGTATATACTATATTTTTTACATCACGTGACATGTATTAAAGATGAATTATTTAATAAAATCAATTTTTAATGTATTAATAATTACTTAACCTCAAAATTTTATGTATATAATATACACATGTATTACTGAATGTAATTTTTACGATTGATTATGAAAAACTATGAATCATAAGAGGAAAGTTTGATACAACATTTAAATAGGATTTTTCTTTTTTTGTACCAATAAGTATTGCATATCAAAATTAATTACATATGTAAAAGATACGTTGCATTATTTTACATCTCGTATGTTATATTAATTATTACGCGCATTTGAAAAAATAATCTAACAATAATTATTTTATGACAATTTTACTTAAGTATATATATATATATAGATATAGTTACACTCAATACTCGTCACTAATTTGTTAATTGTAAGGTTATGTTCAACAAAATTGTATTATTTTATATAACAATTGGTAATTGATATTTATGAATAGAAAAGAAGATTTGATTTCTTGGGAGAATCTAAATAATCTTAATAGATTTTATTGAATTATATTTTTTTTTCCTTAATATAGGAATACATTGAATTTACCATGGAAAAGATAAGAAGTTTATCTGGTGATGTAGGTTGCGGGGTTCTTTTATCGGCTTTGTTTTTTATATACCTAGCATTTGGTACACCAGAATGGTTGGTCAGTGATCCTAGAATTCTTGGCGCTCAATTTGAGAAAATGGGCCTTTGGGTACATTGCCTTAGATCTTTACCAAGACCATATGAAGCCGATGCACCTAAACAATTCTTTGTAGGCTGTAGATGGGTTTACGATCCATTTACTACAGAATACAATCATATTTGGGAGTTTTCATTACCACGTAAGTAAATCACACTAATATCTCTCTTGTTTTATACAAATGATAAATATCTATTAATATTTTGATATTAATAAATTGTATGGTATTTTTTTGAAAACATTTTCTTACAGGTTCTATGATAGCTACCCAATTATTTTTCACAGTATGTTGTTTACTTATTTTGGTATCGTTTGGATTGATGTTGTTGTTTATATTATGCTGTCGTCCAACAGAAAAAAGATATATTCTACTTATTAAGATTATTAGTTATTTGTCGTTCACCAGCGGTATTCATGGTGCCATAGCTGTCATTATATTTGCATGCATGGGAAATACAGATGGTTGGATGTCAGGTCATACAAATAATTATTTTGGATGGTCCTTTGCAATGGCTGTTGTTGGTACTACCTTAGCTCTCATAGCAAGCATATTGTTCCTTATTGAAGCAAATATACAGAATAAGAAGCATAGAAATTTTAGAGAATTTCAAATGCAATTACAATTACAATTGAATGCATAATGATTGAATTTATGGTGGAACATTTCAATATTTCTTTAAAAAAAAAAAAGCTTTATTATTTTAATCAAATTAGTCAATGTATTGTAGGATATATAAAAAAAGAAACTATGCCGTCCTTTACCAAATATGGAACAAATCTTTAAAGAAAACTAGATTTTTTATATTTAATTTTTGACTATATAAAAATAATATATAATTATATATATTAAAACTACCCTTTATATATATAAACTATATATTTATCTTTGTGATTGTCTTGACATTTTATACTTCTATTCTTCAAAATATATCTGTATATACATATAATTGAAATAAATGCAATTTACGAAGTTACTTTACTTCTGTTCATTTAAATGTACTTATCAAAATTGCGCATCTCTCTGTAATATTAAAATTATCTTATAATTAGATTAGCTTAAGGATTGAAATAAGAATAAAGCAGTGTTTATGTTAACTATATATGTGATTAATAATTATATATATAAATGATTATTATAAAAATAATACTCAGTCTCGCAAAGACTTACTTTTATCAAAGTTTATATGTAGTAGTATAAAATTCTGGAAGCACTTTGTGTTTTAATATGTAATTTTATAAATTTACTGATTAGTAAATTTGGGTGGACGTTTTTCAGTAAAAGCAATCATTCCTTCTTTTCTGTCAGCCTAGAAAAAAATGTTATAAAAGTATTTATAATTTCTCTCTTTAGACGACAAAATATTGAATTGTTACTCATAATAAAACTATATTTCTTACCGTAGCAAACGTTCCATGGAACATTCTCTTTTCAAAATGTAATCCTTCTTGTAACGTAGTCTCATAAGCTAATTTACAATTAAAAATTAATTAATTAATAGTATATATGTGTGTGTTGTTAATTTATAAAATAACAAATAAAATGTAATTACCCATATTAACAGATTCTTTTGCCATAGATACTATTAATTGCGAATGAGAAGCTATCTTTTCACCAAGTTTAATAGCTTCTTGTACAACTTTATCGGATGGGAATACTTTGCTAACCAAACCTGAAAAAATACTTTGTTTCAAATTTCTTTGCGAAGAAAAAAAATGAATATCTATATTTTTCTTTAATTACCCACCACTTTTTTCAGCTTCTTCAGCAGTTATATGATTTCCGCTAAGTACCATTTCCATTGCCTTACTTTTTCCTACAATTCGAGTTAATCTTTGTGTACCACCAGCACCAGGTATCGTACCAATTGCTATTTCTGGTTGACCAAATCTTGCTTTATCACCGGCATAAATAATATCACACATCATAGCTAATTCGCATCCACCGCCCAACTAAAAATAAAATATTCTATTTATAGAAAATATAAATTTTTTAAAATAATAATAATAATAATAATATAATAAATAGTACTTACAGCATATCCATTTACAGCAGCGATTACTGGCTTAATGACTTTGGAAACTGCGTTCCAAAATGAAAGAAAATTACCCTTCATACTATGAGAGTATGTATTATTAACCATTTCTTTAATATCAGCTCCTAAATAAATTATTTATTCAATACGAATAGTAAATAAATAAATAAATATATATATATATATATATATATAGGTTTCCATAATAACTTCCAATTTCATAGATACTGTTTTAAATATGATTGCACATTAATTTGTAAAAATTAACATAGCACATTATATGTAAATTAGTTTTTAAAATTATCATTCCTTCGTTTATTTTATCTCTAATGGTTTTTTGTTTTTAAATTGTTATTTTGAAATGAGAAATTGTTATTTTGACTTAAAAAGCTGATAATAAAAAATACATTAATATTTACCAGCTGCAAATGCTTTCTCATTTCCTGTGATAACAATTGCTCCAACATTATCATTTTTATCTAATTCTCCAATAGCTTCATTTAATTCGGTCATTAATTGATTGCACAAAGCATTTAATGCTTTTGGCCTATTTAAAGTAATTAAGGCAACATTATTTTTTTCTCCAGTAGTCTCCACTTTTATCAATTCATATGTTTTCATTTGAGCTGTAAATAATTATCGAAATATTTTAATTGACATTTTGTAAAAAAATAATGAAATATAATAAAACTTGTTCTTATCTAATCATTTTTAAAAAAGAAATATTATTATTATTTTTTAAATTTTGTCTCGTCATCGACAATTATCGATTGTTTATAATTGTTTTAATTTATTATTGAAATGACCCGGCATATCGAAACAATGTATTTTCAACAAAGATATAAAATATTATGCAATTGTTTTTAAAATCGAACAAATTTCATAATTAAATATATTAACAATTATATGTAATCAAAATAATAATAATCAAAAATTTATATTTTAATCTCTGCAATAATCGAATATCGAATTTAATATTAACAATCGAATGTATTTATTTTCAACTTACAAGAATAATATTTGATGAAAGATGAACATTGTTGCGGTTTTCTAACAGTGTTAGAAACGCGAGAAAATAATATTTGTCCTAAGCGAATAGTTGCCATGTTGATCAGGTTCTTCTACTAAGTCGAATGAGAAAATATTGAAACGTTCTTATTGAAATACCATTATAAATACGTGGCAGCCACTGTGCTATGGCCTTGCACTATCGTCATATTTATCACAGGCTAGAGGTCAGATTAAACGAGTTTGTTTTCTAATTGATAATATTTGTGTAAGGAAAAATATTTGTTATTGATAAAATCTTTCTTACCAACATAATAAACAACTATCGATAAGTAAGTAATCTATTTTATCATTCGATCGGTAATGCAAGATTTATGAAATACAAAATCAAAATAATCATTATTTTATTAATTTAATTTGTTTATTATAATGAAATAAGTATTACATTTTATTTATAAAATTGTAAATATTTGATGGGTGTAAATCAAGATTAACAAAAGTCTTTTATAATTCGTTCTCTTTTCTTATTGGTGCATTTGAAATTTAACCAATTTATGACGAATCATGTAAGAGTTTGATTTAGTCGAATTATGTTGCTCATACTGTAAATGAGAACTGAGAAGATAGTTCAAGTTAGACAAGCGGTAGCTTTAGAAAAACGGCATAGTCATTTCGTATTTTCTGACATTTCTTGTTAATTTAAAAACACTCGAATTATGACAGCTAGGTACGATAGAGCGATAACAGTATTTTCGCCCGATGGACATTTACTTCAAGTAGAATATGCTCAAGAAGCTGTGAAAAAAGGATCAACAGCGGTATGTCTGCTACTAATTGGTTAACCTAACTTCTCCTAAATATTACTATTCGAAAATGCAATGTAATCCTTCTTAAAAATTCATTTATTTTTAAAATATGTTCTTTTATTTTAAAATAAAAGTTTGTTCTATTATGATCAACCACTTTGTAAAGTTATGTCAATTCTTTAGGTTGGAGTACGAGGAAATGATGTTGTTGTCCTGGGTGTGGAAAAAAAATCTGTTGCTAAGTTGCAAGAAGAACGTACTGTTCGTAAAATATGTCTTTTGGATGATCACGTTGTTATGGCATTTGCAGGTTATTTAAATTCGATTGTTATAGAATGAATGGATGACATTTTATCATCATGACTAATCAATAAAACAAAACTTTTTTTTTTTTAAAGGATTAACTGCGGATGCCAGAGTATTAATTAATCGTGCACAAATAGAATGCCAAAGTCACAGACTAACTGTCGAAGATCCTGTTACATTAGAATACATTACTAGGTATATTGCAGGTAGGCATTATTATATTGGACAACTTCATTATTACAATTATTACTTAGGAAGTATTAATATTATCAATGATTTTCTTTTGATTTTTATTCTTAGGTTTAAAACAGAAATATACACAGAGTAACGGTAGAAGACCTTTTGGTATATCATGTCTTTTAGCTGGTTTTGATTATGATGGTGAACCACATTTATATCAAACAGAACCGTCTGGAATATATTATGAGTGGAAGGTATTTCTGAGATACTTGATCTATCATTATTGGTTGTTTTTTTTTTTTAAATGTTTTTCTCTTTTTTATTCGTTTGTGTTTTCTACATATCTTCTTGTCTTGTAGGCAAATGCCACAGGCAGAAGCGCAAAGACAGTGCATGAATTTCTAGAAAAATATTATACACCAGAAGAAGTATCAACAGAGAAAGGTTCTATCAAATTAGCTATAAGAGCTTTATTGGAAGTAGTGCAATCTGGACAAAAGAATTTAGAAATAGCAGTCATGCGACGTGGGAAACCTATGGAGGTGCTCTTTGAATTAAATTATACAATCTTTTTTTATGTGATATGATATTTAATAATTATATAATGTTGTAAATGAATATTATTTTATCCAATACAGATGTTAGACATTAACACCATAGGGCAGTATGTGACAGAGATTGAAAAAGAAAAAGAAGCAGAGGCAGAAAAGAAAAAGCAAAAAAAGTGATGTACTTTTATTCGAATGCAGTACTATTATATTATTACGTTATTTTTCTCATAAAATAAATATTTTCCAATTAGGTGATGAAAAACAGATGAAATTTAACTTTTTTTTTTCGATACTACTTTTACTGCCGTATTTATGCATATATAAAAAATCTTATTATTCAGTATGTTTATTAAAACATTTCATAAGTGAAAATATGCAATATTGTTGAAATTTATACAATATCATTTCATAATGTCACTTGTATAATTAACAATAAAGAAACACATTTTGATTAAACTTTCTATGTTCATATTACGTGCGTGTTCGTATGAAAAAAAAAAAAAGAAAAAAAGGAACTGTATTACTTTTTAAAAACTTCCATTGTATGTGTTTATTATCATAAAAATACTAAATATATTACTTTTTTGTGTTTAACGCTATTTTTTCCCCTCTTTTATTTTGTTAAATCGATTTGAAAGTTTAACAAATATACAAAGAGCTATTTATCTTAAATTAAATTACATTGCATTCTAGAATACGAATTAAATTCGTGTATTTTATTATTCTTACAAAAAATCAGGAGACAGTGATTTACCACGATGATTAAATGTTTGAAACGATGGTAGATTTCTTAACGTTTCCCAAGATTTATTTTCCAAATCAACAACAGCACGTATCTCTTTAAAATCACCAGCTATGTACATTACGCCATACATGACTATGAATAAACTAATTATACCTTGTATTAATATCTGCAATCAAAACATTTCATTAACATATTAATATCTTATTAGACATAAATTACACGATATTAATCTTGTTACTTACATCAATTGGCAAAGTGGTAAATTCTTGCTCAGTTATTCGCAAATATGATCTATCTGTAAACATAAATATTTCATTGTGTCAAACTCTTAATAACTTTACAAATATTAATGTCAGTGTATATTGTAGAAGAATAACAAATTGATAAAAGAAATTGACAGAAATTAATAAAAAAAAAAAAAAATTATAAAAATAAAATCATATAGACAATTTAACCTAAATATGAATAAATTAATTGACAAATTCAAATATGATAATAAAAATTGACAATACTCACGTTGAGCAGCTGAATAAGCAGCATGCAACATTGACATTACTCCAAGAAATGTTATAAATTTATGCATTGTCGTGGCTGGCATTATTATTGTTGATGATACAAAATTATAAATATTATTATGAAAAGTATATAAATATAGCAATAAACCTTAACCTCTCCAGGTTTTTAGATAATTAAAGTAAACAGAAGTAGATGGCGTAGATGGCGTAGATGGCGCTAGTTAACGTTTTATTTAATTAAGATGAAGGTTACGTATCTTTAGTCAATGGTTATCTATGATGTATAGAATCCATCATATAGTATAATTATAATCGATTTATACATTGCAAAATTCGTGCAGTGCATTGTGGTCGTTTGTGCAAGAAATAAGAGTGTTTTATACATGCATGAAATATTATTAAATTTATATTGTAGATAGAATTATTACGATCATTAAGTATACGAAATATATTTCCAAATAATAATAATCAATAAGTAACCATTTTTAATAAAAAAAAATAAATATGTCAACCGACGAAAATTCCTGGCGTACACAAAGTTTCAGGCAAAGTGTAGTAGCAAAACTGTACGTATAATTTTTCCATATATTTACTTTTTAACATTATATATATATATATATATATACATTATAAATAGATTTTTTTAAATATTATAACTATCCACGTGTTTATTTTGTTTAAATACATAGCGATGAAGCTGTACAAATGTCTGGTGTGTCTACAGCAAAGAATAGCGTTGAAATGGAAAGTCACGTTTACCAGAAAGCAAAAACCAAGGTATGTATAAGTTTATTAATAATAATCATTGATCTTTTAATTGACATATTATAAGTAAATTAATTTTTCGTTCTGTTTACATGGGGTTTACCGTGTCCGAGCTAAAACTATTTCTTTACGGAGTTTGTTTAAAAAGAAAATATATGCAAAAATAAATTTGTTGGCTATTAAATTAAAGGTTTCGAAAATTGGTATAAATTTTTAAAAAATTTTTTTGACTAGATTAAAAGAGTGAAAAAGGACCGGAAATGAATGATCTCTGTCATTCCGGAAGATAACAAATAAACGTATACTGACGAGTAAATTATTTTTCTCTGTTTCAGGAGGAATACCTAGGCTTCATTGCAAGACTTATATTCCATGTTAGAGAAATGAGTAATAATAGAATATATTAAAATATATTTCATTGTTTATAATGTTTAAAAAAAAAAAAAGAAGAAAATACTGAAACTTAAGAATGTTATTTCTTTTTCATAGATACGAAAAAACCAGGCAATGTCGTCGGACCTGGATCAGCTGGTAACGGGAATCAAGGAATGCCAGATCCGATAGGTGCATTACAAACTTTAGCGAGACAAGGAACAGGCAATAATCAAATGATTGGAATGGGTGGACCTGGGCCTAATCCACAAGGCATTGTACCACAATCTTCTACAAATACAGCTACTAATCGTAATTATTCATTAAATTTACTTATTATTATTATTAAGGTTATGTCAGAATTGTTTTTGTTAACACGTTTCGTCCTATGTGTACTATCAATGTATATACTATCATACGTAGGAACATACTTATTTAACATTTGGCCATTCGTTGTCACGTACACGTGACATGTTTTCCTCCAATAAATGTGAATCTCATTGGCGGCAGTGCAACGGTGACTTGAGAGATGTGCAAACGTCAAAGTGTTAATACGTTTAAACAGTCGAACGAAAGTGATTTGACATCAAACGTGTCAAAATAAAATTAGCTTATCAACTTTATTAAATTTCGTCAATAAAGTAGAACAGAGTTGTTCACAATACATACAGATACAATTTGATTTACGTCTGACTAACTTTCATATAGAAATAGTTATTAATTACAAACTTAACCTATAAATGTGAATTAATTATAATTTGAGAGAAACATTAAATCTTGTATTAAACAATTGATTTCATACATAAATATATTATAATATAATGTTATAAACAAGAGTATTTTCAAATCAATAAAAATGTCAAAGTTAAATAATTATTACTACGCTCAATATGCACAATCTTGTGAAAGTGAGCCAGGTTATGATTCTGATAGTTTGGAAGTTTTGCAATCTTTAAAATACTCTCCAACTTCTGTTCAATTATTTAATATCTTAGAAAGAAGAGCAAAGAAAAAATCTATTTATGAAAATTGGAAAAATCGAATTATTCAGCAATCAGGTTTAAAAAGTAAAATTGAAAAACAATGCGGTATGAGGGTTAAAATAAGAAATAAAATTGTAACTTACATCTACAAATCTGAATTAGATAACAATGAAAAATATTTCAAATTTAAAGTTGTTTATCTTTACAGCAATTTATTACAAAAATGGTATTTTTCTGTAGGTCATAGTTTTATACCTAATGCATTGAATATCAAAAAGATTGTGAAATACAATGTATATGATCCGATTAGTTTTAAAGTCATTAAAATTGTGAAGAAAATAAGACAAGCTATAGATGCTTTTCTAGAATCATATTCGTATATTTTTCAATTTATTGATTATGCAAAAGTGAAATATCCAGATATTGAATTTCAAGTAGACCAACGTCACAAGTATTTCAAAATATTACTCAAGGAAAAAACATGGCCAAAGAATATAAAGAAAATAAATACAACAGATATAATTATTGTTACCTTTGAATTTGATCAAAATCTTGATATCAACAGTGTCGATTTTCAATATTTGTTTCTCGAAAATGAATTAATTTCTGAAAAGATTAAACAAATTTATGTAGATTTATTGCAAAATAAGTGCCAAGTTTTTCTACAATTACCTTTTTATGAAGCATTTATGCATTTCATGGAATAATAATAATTAATAATATAAATAACAAAGATTATATTTTCTTATTCTTTCATTAATTTTCTTTCTTCTTTATTTAAACGTATAAAAAACATTTATTATTCTTATTAAATATAAACATTATTACTATAATATGATTATATTATACAAGCTTTATATAATTGGTCGCATTTAATTTTTTTTTTTTATAATGAGTTTTGCAAAGTTTAAATCAACGTCCTGGACAACCAATGACCATGCCTGGTTTGCAAAATAAAATGTCTGGAATGGGTATGATGCAATCTGTTGGTACTATGAGTCACATGAATGCAATTCAAGGTATGCAAAGTGGTGCAATTTTAACTCAAATTAATCAAATGAATCAAGGAAATATGCCACAGCAAATGAATCAAATGATTCCTACTCAAATGAATCAAATAAATACTGGACAAATGCAACAGAATATGCAGGTAAATATGTTTTGCATAATATTTAATATATAATTAATTATTGCATAAACTTGCATAGATAAGAGTTGAGTATTAAATTAAATATTCAATTTATTAACAGAATCAAATGCAAAATCAATTGTCAGGACAAATGTCTAATCAAATTGGTGGATCTTTAAATGCTATGCAAAATAATATGTCTCAGCAAATGAATCAAATTTCTTCTGGTCAGATGGGTCCTGCACAAGTAACGCAACAAATAAATCACATGCAAAGAAAAGTATGAAACAACACACTTACAAAAATATTCATTGATACTTCAACGACAATATGATTTTTCTTATCTCTCTTTTAGCCTGGAGAAATAATAAATAATGTATTTCCTGGTCCACGTAATGTTACTCCAAACACATTCTTAAGACAAAGTCCATCTCCATCTGCCCCCAGTCCAGCAGCTTTAGCAGCACCAGCAAGGTAATATTTGTTTCTTTTATGACACATTTCAGAGTTTTTCTAAACAATTAATCTTTTAATTAATATATATATTCGATAATATTTTGTTTATAGTAATCAAATGGTAGCATCTCCAGCTTTAGTACCATCTCCAAGTTCACAACATCCTATCATAGCCGGACCACAAAGATCTGTTGGTTAGTATATGCAATTATCGAATAATCAAATTTCTTAATAAGATTCTTTTTCAATAATACGTTTGATGAATATTTTTTTTTTTAGGTATGGCACCATCTCCTAGTAGCTCGTTAAATACTCCAGTAGCTGTGGGTGCAACACCTAGTCCCCAACAAGAAGATCAAGCGTATAGAGATAAAGTTCGACAACTCAGTAAATACATAGAACCATTGAAAAGAATGATTTCCAGAATGGGAAATGATGGAAGTAAGAAATTAATAAAATTTATTTTTTTTTTGTCGATATGAATTCTAAGATTTTGCATAAACAAATGTTTTCTTACTTTTCAATTATCAAGATGTCGACAAATTGAGTAAAATGAAAAGATTATTGGAAATTTTATCGACGCCCAGTAAACGTATGCCAATGGAAACACTTCTGAAATGTGAAGTTGTATTAGAAAAAGTCGACTTTAAGAGAAATGACGGTAGTGTTGGGCCACCTGTGACTACTTTAAAAGAACATCATTTCTTTAGTCCACTTTTGGAAACAGTAAGCACTCATTTACAAAGTCCAGTAATAAATCACACTTTACAGCGTACTTTCGGTCCATGTTCAGAAGCATTGTTTGGACCAGAGATTAAGTAAGCAAATAATATTTAATGTCAATTCATTTATCATTTATATACGAAATGGAAATTTGAAAAGAGAACAAAATATTTGATTTATTTTCCTAAATAGAACTTTGCCACCGTTGAATAAAAGAAAGATAGAGGAACCACCTAGTGAAATACCAGATGTTTTACAAGGAGAAATTGCACGTCTCGATCAACGATTTAAAGTAATTATATAATTATTTGTATACACTGTATATATATATCAACATAAACATATTCCATTTTATACATACACAATTGACGTTTCTCATTTTTACAGGTGAGTCTGGATCCAGCACAACAAAATGGTTCTAAATGTATACAATTAATATGTTGGTTGGATGATCGCCATTTACCATGCGTACCACCCATATCAGTCATCGTACCTGCTGATTATCCCTTAACACCACCGCGTTGCGTTATGACGTCTCACGAATATACAACAACGTTTCTTTGCGCTGTACAGAAGGCCCTTAACGCACGCATTACTAAACTTCCACGTCATTTCTCTGTGTCACAGTTACTCGATACTTGGGAAATGAGTGTGAGACAAGCAAGTTCATCAACGCAAACCCCTATCACAGCTAGCACGGTCTTAATGGGCCTGTAGTTAATATTTTCTGAATAATAGATTTACTTTCTTTTATAATATATCTATAATTATTATATTAAAATAGTTATTATAGTAAATTGTTAATTTTATTTTAGTCAATAATTAAATCGTGACCAAAAAAAAAAAATGGACGGATATATTATTAAGACGTACATTTTCGTTTGAAACTTTTACAAAACTATCATTTTCTAAATTAAATGAAAATACATTCCTTTAAATAATGATCATAATAATAATAATAATAAAAAGATGTTCTCGTAATTATCGTAAATCACATTTGTGAACTCGTAAATCTTTAATATCCTTATCTCGGATCTATAAAAGTGATATTTACATTTAGAAATCCACAATAGAAATGATGTTACGAGAGTTGACCGGAGATATCACTGCGCATGTCACCCTTCCACAATAAAAGAAAAAAAAACTAAGGAGGGTAAGTTAAATGACAAACGTTTAAAATAATTATACTTAAACGTTACTACAATAGTAAGACGACGAATCGATTAAAAAAAAAAAAATTAATTCACCCTTTCAAACATGCAGTGAATATGAAATTGCTCATTTACAGGAAATGTTTCAAAGTAACTATTATAACAATAATATTTATTGGCGATTCGAATAACTGCATTTATTTCACGTGAACGAACGAACAAACGAACGATAGAAAAAAATAATAAACGTGTGGGATATTTTAAAAATGATCGGTCTTAGAAAATACATAAAACGAATGTTCACTTTTGAACTACTTTGTTGGCGTTATAAGTTCATGTTATCTTTAATAGGCTGTTGGCCACCATTATATGTTAAAAAACAAATATTTAAAAGATTATTCGTCAATATATGTTTGACTAGTTTGATTTTAATTCAGGTGATAGTCTCTCAATTTACATTCTATAACAAAAAAAGAAAAAAAAGAACTTTATTCAAATTCAATTCTTCACGATTCTTATACATCTGTTTCAAATTTGTATATATTGTTAATTAGGTATTTGCTCTTTTCACTTCGGCAAACGAAATCGATACAATTTTGGAAATAATGACTTATCTTTTACCAATCCTTGGTATGGACACCCCATACTTTGCTGTATATTTTAATATAGAAAAGGTAAATACATATACATCACATTGTTTTTCTTAAAAATATTAATTTTCATAATGAATTTTCATAATTATTTAACAATTTTCTATCAAATTAAATCAACAAAAAGAATTATTTTACTATTTGCAGACTCTCTATTTTTACAATCACTGTATTGCTGATTGGGAAAAATTAGAAAATGAAGAGGAACGTGAAATTTTTCAAAAATGTGTCATAAATAATACTTATTACACTCTTCTTATAACTGGTAGGATGAGACAACAATTTTTTAAAATTACCCACATTTTTTTGGAATCTTAATTCATTGCAAAATATAATTATCATTAATTGATTTAACCAGTTAAGTGTGTTTGACAACTATATCAGTCATGGAGATGTGGCCAAAATTATCTATTACCGACGTCATCTATATCCGTCATGCGTAAAAGTTTGTTACAATTTAATGTTTAAATTGTAATTTTGATAGCGAAAATTAAATTATATTCGTCAATTTTAATATGTTTCAAATAAATTTGTAACTTGTATAAATATTTGATTATTTTTTCTCTAATTTTTCCATTTATTATGTATAAATATATGTTTATATATTAAGGAAACTGTGTGTACATTACTAACAAAATTGTTCATTTTCTAAAATAAAGTCGTTTATTTTAACAACGCCACTTACTCTGTATTTGACGACTATATCCGTCATCGCTTGATTATCGCGACACACACCAGAGCGCGCTCTGTTCACAGATCGTCACACTTAACTGGTTAATAAATTCATCATAAAAGTAAATTCTTTTAAAATATACAATTCAGTATTCAACAATTTCAAATATTTCCAGAATTAATTAATTGTCATTTTACTGTAAATTAATATTTCAGCATTTTACAGTCTAGGAGGTTTAGTATTAACATTTATTTCATTAAAACCAGTATATTTGGACATTATTTCACCTTTGAATGAAACACGACCACGTCAGTCAATAATTCCAGTTGAATTATTTTTCATTGATAAAAATGAATATTTCTTTTTGGTATTCTTTATTATTTTTATGACTGGCTTTGTAACTGGATATGCTACAATAACTTCCTTGAATATACTTTTTTTGGGGGTACAACATGGTTGTGCATTATTTAAATACGTTGGGTAAAGATTCATTATAGAATTATTCAAGAATTTAATCTTTGTATTAATAAACATTGTTCTCGATTATTCTTGAACATTGTATTTTTGTTTTCTTTTTTTTTTAGATATAAATTAGAACATTTGATCGATGAAAATGAATTTCATCAGGAGGAGATACCAATATCTAAAATTTATGAGAAAATACGTCAGAGGATAATTATTAGTATTAAACTACATAAAAGAACTTTTGAGTTAGTATATGTATCATACATAAGTATATTTACATAGATAAAAATACAACATTAAAAGTAATTTAAATTATCTTTAGAATACTTCATATATATTTGAAAGAAAATTTGAAATATAAAATAATCTCAAAATTGAACTAACAAGATCCTTTAATAATATTGTTTTTCAATGATATCCAAAATAATATTAAATTCTAACTTCTTTTTAAAGGTATATGGACTTTATGAATTCGATTTGTGCATACTTTTTCCTCATAGCATTAATGTTCGAAGTTTTAATCATTGGTATGGACTTTTTTAAAGTGAGTAATTATTGTTCTCTTTATAAGTATTATTAATTATTAAAATATATAATTATTAACGATGTTTTCAAAATGATACATTTCAATCCTAGTTGCAATCCACAGCAGATATTTTTCAATCTAAGAGAAATCTCCTTTTGTTGATTGTTTATATTCCTGGTTCTCTTTTGGTGATTTATTTAACCTGTAGAATGGGACAAGATGTTTTGGATAGCAGCGAGAACGTGCTCGAAAAAGCGTAAATTTATTTTTTCTTCTTGCAGTTCTGTTTCATATATATATATATGAAATATAATAATAATATATTAATTTAAATATACGCATTTATTATAATTTTGATTTCTGACATAATAAAAAAAAAAATTAAACAATATCATAACTTTTTTTATAGACGTATGGTACCGTGGTATTTGTTACCGCCAAAAATGCAAAAAGCAGCCATATTGATAATGATAAGAAGCAAGAAACCATGTTACTTAACTATCGGAAAAATATTCGTCTCGTCTCATCTATTTTTCACTTCTGTAAGATAAATAATATATATCAAACTTTGACAAAAATTATATCGAAAGATATTAATGCTAAAAAAAATGTTCTTTTTCATATTTAAAGATAGTAAGAACGGCGATGTCCTACGCAACCATGGCTCATTCATTACGATAATTGATCTTGATCAATGAATTATTACGAATCTAAAATAAAAACTAATAATTGCATACTAATTAATTGCACTTTTACAAAAAAAAAAACAAGAAAAAAACAAAGTAAAATAATGACAACACTAATCTAATAAAATCTTAAGAAGATTAATCACGAAATAATTTGTAATTGCATTTTATGAAAAATTAAAAATCGATATAAATAATGTTGATTTCATAAAATGGCGGCAAATTTGAAAATACTCGATAAAATTATATTTTTTAAATCATAACATATTCGTTATTTATAACTATAATTAAATAAAAAAAAAAAAAAAAACATATTAATATTAAAGACCAAAAATATATTGCACTTTATTATTGCAATTTATAACCAAAGGAATATTATTCTATAATCCATGTTCTTTTTCTAAACACACATAGTCATATTATGTTAAATAATATAAACCATGATTGCATAATAATACGCATATAAGTATATATTTTGGTATAGTAATCTCTTCCCGTTTCAAATTAACCAACTACGCAGTATCCATCTTAATATCTCAATATATAAATAAAATCTCCAATATGAGTTATAATGCAATTGCAACACATATTAACTTATTCGTAAATCTATGAATTATTCTACATGATTATAAACAAAAGTATGTAAAAATTACTGCTATCACAGATGCAGCAAATATGCATAAATAAATAAATAAATATATATATGTATATGTATATATATATATAAGTGCATACGTGCACTTCAGAAGCCTCTTGCATTTCCATGAACTAGTTAAAATAAAGATGTGAATACTCAATGTACATAGAAACACACAAATATGAAAAAATGTGCATTCTTTTCCTTCTTTTAATTATTATCAACTTTTTTAAGGTATAATTTAGAAGTATGAAAATTTATTAGGATAAAATTTGAATTTTGAAAACTATAAAAGGTATAATAAAATTAAATTATAATTTTAAATATTTTAAAATAAAATATAGTCATTCTTAAAGATACGCCTTAAGGGAGAACGTTTCTTGCATCGCGTGCTTCTCTAATGTTTGACATTGGAATTTACCAACGCGAAGGGAAGGTGCAGTACCGGTTGCACGCGTGTGGCTTTACTCCAAGTGCTGTGACAGTTTTGTTCGATTTTTTTTTTCTCTAGAAAGTTACGTAAAAGTTTTTATCATTAATTAAGTGTTTATATGTATAGAAAATATTCATAAAGAAAGAATAGAAAATAATTTGTATATTTTCATTAATTGTTGAAACAAGACGAGACGAGACGAAACGACACGAGACGAGACGAGACGAGACGACGCAACACGAAACGAGACGAGACGACGCGACACGAAACGAGACGAGACGACGCGACACGACACGACACGATTCGACTCGACTCGTGAACTCTCGTAAAGAATAAAAAGCATAAAAACATTGTGCATTTTTACAAGATTTAAAGTAATCGGTTAACATTATACAATATCGCACGTGTACAAGAAGAAATCTCCATTTCTTTTTCATAAATTATTCTTCAATATATTTTAATCTCTTGAATTATTTCGTCGCGTGGTTAGGGAGAGTTTCGCGCGTAACCTTCGTTACGAACGCACTTGGAAAGAAAGAAAAAGAGATAGAAGAAGAAAAGGAAAAAGGGAGAAAGAGATAGCACACACACACACACATACACTCATATACATATCCATATGTAGTGTAAAGAAAAGAGACAAAAAGTGTGGGACCAACTTGAGTTTATTCGATTACGAGAGAAAGGGAGCGAGAGAGAAAGAGAAAAAGAAAGAAAGAGACAGAAGATCGAAAGGTACGGAGTTTCAATATCAATTTGATCTTTAACAATAAATTACAAGAAGACGTGTGTATGTGCATAAATAAGAAAAAATTCTAAACGCGGCTAAGATATTATAGACAAATAAAAAAGGAAAATTAAAAAGAGAAAAAGAAAAAAAAGGCGAAAAAAACAAATAAGAATATAGATCAAATAAAAGGGTCTGAAATAGATATCTTTGTAGGACGACTAATTAGGGATACGCAGAGAGTTATAGAGGATATAAAAACATTAACCATAAGCCATGGGTAAGACGCCAAAGAAGGCGGCCCCTGGGGGCGATGAGAGGAATTCTTGCGTTCGGAGAATCAAGCCAACGACCGCGTCGTCTAAAACCTCCGAATCTGAGAAACAACGCGAGTCGGACTATTCGAACAGGTTTGTAAAATTAATCAAATGCAACAAAGTGAGTTTACACTTGGAGTTTACATTCTTATTATTATCTTTCTTAGCTCATTCAATTTGTTTATCAATTGACACCAATTGAGAAGACCGACTCTACACTTACATTAGTAATTGTCTTTAGTTTTTGTCTATGTAATATAATCTGACAATGTTTATACTTTAATAGTATTTTTCCAAACAATTTGGATATTACTGTTAAAACTTGTCAATGCATACATAGTTTGATCGATATGAATTTTTTTTGAATTAAATATCATGTAAATATGCATTTTCGTATTAACATTTATACTGAGTACGAGCTTTTCATATTTTAATGATAATCTTTGCTTAAAGATAATATCGGAGTTGTGTGATTGGTAGAAAATTATGGAAATTGAATTAAATCAACAAATTGCATGTAATTATTATAAATTAACTCCGATTATTGATATTCTCCGATTAGTCTTTAGATGGTGGTACATATCTTTCGGTTTGCTTTTGATAACTTTATATGACATTATAATTATGATACTTATAAGCAATTTAATTTAATTTCTATAAGGATATTTGTAAATATGTTTCCCTCTCATCACCTCCAGCATTTGTTTGAAAATGTATGGTGTATAAAGGTATTCAATGTATGATATATCTATTAACATTCAATTTTATAAGATTTCAATTACATTTTTACAGACCAAGGCTGAGTAATATTCAGAAAAAAGTTCTTCCCAGTTCTACGAAAAAAGTAAGTAAATTGTAAATACAATTTTACTTTGTTGAATATTATACGTTGTTGTTGTTGAGCTTTATCAAATTCAGTTAATTTTAATTGTTTCCTTTTATGGGGGAACCTTGATTGTTATTTTCAACCGCATCTTATGATAACATTTTAAAATGCAAAAATTGTGATATTTTTAAAGATAAAAAACAAATTAATTGTTATACTTAAATATACAGGGTGTCCTGTAACTGGTGGTACAAACAAACAGGGGTACCCTAACAGTACAAGTATGAGAATTTAATATTCTGAGAGTACTGAGAATACTGTACTTTGTAACAGGGCAAAAAGGTTTGCTTACTTGACAAATTTTCAGACTTATTTTTCTTAAAACACTTAGTTTTTTGTTTTATGTAGAATCAGTCCCTGTTCGCTTGTACCACTATTTATAGAACACTCTATATGTATCTGTAATTTAAAGAAATATATAATAATAATAATAATAATAATAATAATATATTTGTATTTCAGAATAAACTTCATAACACAGCAAATAGCTTAAATCAACAATTGGTAAAGAATTTATCTAAGGATACAGTTAAAGAAGGTTCGGTGCAAAATATGCTTCAACATTTGCGACAAGTAAAGCAACAAAAGATGCAATCTAAGTTAGAGGAAGCAGAATCGACAAGTAGTAGTATATCTATAGAGATTGATAATAAGGAGGAAACCGTGAATGATGTAGATAACAAGAAAGAAGAAACTACAACCAAAGACAGTAATGCTAATCATACAACAGAGGAACAAGATTCTACAACTAATACAAATATCGAGAAAAAGACTGCCGAGAGTATAGATGAAGATACAACAACAACAACAACAACAACAACGTCTACGAACAATGAAACCATTCAATCGCAGGATAAAGAAAACGAAAAGAAAGATCATTTGGAAGAGAATAATAAACAATGTGACGAACAAGAGCAAGATGAGATGCAATTACATTTACGAGTGGATGATAGTCCTGCAAAATCACCTGATACTACATCGACTATTAGTATAGTGAACGATGAAAATGAATTGGATGAATTACCTCAAATACAGGTAGTAAGTGACGAAGTTAAAGAAAAGAAAAGTTCTCAAACCGAATCGGAAGCAGGAACAGAAAGTTGTTCCGTGGATATAGTAGAATCTGTAACATCTGAATTATCTGAGGCATCTGAACCACCGAGTCAGCAGGATACTCAGAAAGAGAGAGAAAACTTAGATTTAAATGCAAAGAACGAAATGTTAGGTATTAATTATGATGCATCGGTGACATTGAAAGACGTACAAATTAAATTAAACGATTGTCTTAAAGAAAAATTAAAACACGTTGAAGTATGCGAAAGTGATGATAACAATATATCCAATTTATCTGCAAGCAATACTTTTGGTAAAACTTTGCGAAATATTTCTGGAAGAACTGCGATTGATAGATTTCGGCATTCGTCATCATATGATTTTTGGGTTTCACCAAATAATAGTCAATCAACAAATATATCGATGTCACAGTCACCACGAAGAGACACGACAAATACCAAAATTTTACGTTACAGTACAGGATTGTCAGACGTAATGTCGAGTAATGGTAGTTTTGTAGAAAGAAAACGTAAATTAGCAGATTCTCCAGAATCAACAGCTACTTTAAAGAAACAAAAAACGGAACAAAGTAGTTTATTGAATACATCAATGGATATTATTAGGGGGTTACGTAAACCAATACAAATTTCGACACCAAATATAAGTTACAAGGAACAATCTGATAAATTAAATATTAGTGAAATAAATGATGGTAATGATAAGTTTTTATCAATGCATACTACTGAAGATGGTACAAAGAAGTGGTGTGTCATTATGTAAAATAATGGAAAAAAAAAGAAAAGAGAAAAGAGAAAAGAAAAAAAAAACAAAAAGAAAACATAAGAGAAAAAAGAAACTAAATTATTATCCATAAGTATTTTTCTATTCTTCGCGTAAAAAATATTATATAGGAGAAGTAATAATCGTCATTTGTAAAAGTAATATACATATATAACATTTGTAATAATGTTTAAATAGTTTGTCAATTCTTCTTTTTCTTTTTTTTTTTTTTCTACTTGTAATTTATACATGTAAAAATATACATGTATACACCCATTTTCGTTTGTATATCTCTCTTGATAAAGACATTGCATAGTCGGATTTACTTCTCCTATAAAATCTTTTATATATATATATATTTAAGAGTTTATGCCTTCTTGCATAAGAATATACAAAAAAGAAAAAAAAAGAAAAAAAAAACAAAAAAAAAAAGAAGAACAAAATAATAAACATATTACACAGAGAAGAAACGTTGAACAGAAATTGTTCGTATTGATATGATGGTCTGATTCTCAATCATACGTTTATACGATTAAAAAAAGAAGATATTTTAGATTATATTATTAAATAATAATAATAATAATAATAGTTGCGAAGAAAGAAAACTGTTATATCGTAGAAATAGAGAAATGAAATTAAAAACCTTTTTTTAGAATCATTAGAACGAATTTAATAAAAAAAAAAAAAAAATCAAATGCATTGCTAGATTTTGTTTGAATAAATATATTTATGTTATTATAAAAAAGAAAGAGAAATAGAGAGAGAGAGAGAGAGAGAGAAAGAGAAATATAACAAATTATACTTGTGTCATACAAGTGTCATACACGTAGATTATTTTTTTTTCTTTTTTTTATAATTGCACAAACTTTGTATCTCTCAAGTGCAGTATAACATGTAAACGTTATTACTATTTTTTCAAAAAAAAAAAAAAAATAAATAAACTAAGCAAATTATACTTAAACAAAAAAAAACCAACAATGTTATAATAGCTTGGTCGATTCTAATTTATTAAAAGTACGTTTTGAAATAGTCCATGATTTTAACTAATAATAGTAATAGTAATAATACTAATACTAATAATAATAATAATAATAATAATAATGAATCTATTGGACGGGCAGATCTCATAGCTTAAAAAATATAATACTTTAAGCGTAAAAGAATATATAATAGAAATTTATAAATAATAATTTAACCATTCTAATATTCAACAATACACTTCACATTAAAATTCTTTAATTAAGTTGATTATTATTATTATTTGTTAGAGATTAGTCAAAAGCTTTAATATTAGTCAAATGTTATAATGATATACATATACATATACATATACATATACATATATATTATACTCTCTCTAATAATTTTTTATAGTCATAAAAATGAAAAGACAAAAAAGAAAATCCATCCTTCAAAATACATGACACAGAGCCCGTATAATAAATTTCTCATTAAAAAAAAATATATATATATATAAACAAAAGAGATAAGAGAGAGAGATAGAAGGCTTAGTAATGATTTCAATTTTTTGATCTATCAATCAGTAAAATGTATATTTAATATATTTTCATAATTGATACTTTATACGAAGGCTCCAGCATTTATAAATAATTGTACAAAAATGAATTTGAACATGAGTTTTTAATAGCGGATAGAATAAATCATTTTTTTTTATTGAGTTGCCTTATCTCGATTTGGTAACATATGACAATTCTTTTTAGATACAAAAATAATTAACAATCGGTACACACACACACATATATATATATATATAATTAGATATAAATATATAAGATACGTTTCGTAGTCGACGATTCGTATCTTTGAGTAAATAAAAACAAATGTTTTTTTTTTTTCACAAGATATACAAATTAAATATAGTTTTACTATAATGCAAATTATATTATAAAGGTACAAAAAGAAATATTGTACATTTCATATGAACACTTAAAGTGTATAAGAGAGAAGTATAGGAAACGAAAATAGCTGTCTGCATTAATTAGAAAAAAAAAATGAAGAAAAAAAAAAAAGAAAATGGAAAAACAAAATTTCAATCGAGTCTTTTTAATCAACTTTTTTTTAATCGTTCGTTTAACATTTTATTTTCACATATTTATTTTATTATTATAAAAAAAGAAGTTGTGGATACTAAAAGAAAAAAAAAAAAAAAAAAAAAGAAAACGAAGAAAAAAAAACCCCATATATTATTTAACTTTTACTTCTGCGACTATATTATAATAACGTGTTATAATTTATGTTGTTTTTTTTTTTCTCGTCTTTGTTTTTTCTTTTTCCTCATTCTCGGAATTATTCCGTTCATTCGAAAATGCGTGACAATGGATTGTTCGATTGTAATATGTTTTTTTTTTTTTTTTGTAAATCTTTGCTTAAATCATTATTGAACGTAAAAAATTTGTGTGCGATTGATGAATGAATATTGTAAACAAAAAGAAAAATTAACAAAAAGAAGGAACACAAATTTGTATCGATATTTGAAAAATATCGATTATCAGTAAAATCGAATTATCAAAATAGATCGATCAATGTACTTTTATATTTGTTGATGATTACAAATATATGATCGTCAAAATGAATATACAAATGTATATATAAGAAAAAAGAAAAAAAAACAACAAATGAGTTTTAATAAATTTCTTAAACTGTGAACAAATCTAATTGTTAGTTAAAATTACAGAAACGTAATGGATCACAATATGTAAAAGTAAATAACAAGATATTTGTACCCGTCCCCTGTCCCCCCATTGTCAATTTTAAATAATTGGACCACTTATGACAATGGTGTTAATCCATTTTTTTCAATAAAAAAAAAAAATTGAGAAAATTTGTTATTTTTTATTTTATAATAAATCAAATCTATGTGTTTTCTCAATTTTGTCTTGTGAATTTATTCAAAATGCATTTCTTTCATGGAAAACATTTAATAAATTGATCGGAAGGTGGTAAAGGTTAATGAACGGTGTGTCAGGTGATTCAAAGGACGGAAGTAGGTAGATCTGTATCTCCTGTTATCATCATCATCATCATCATCATCATCATCATCATCATCATAATTATTATTATTATTAGTATTATTATTATTATTATTATTATGTTTCCTTTTTTTTCTGTGATCAGGTTGTTCCTCTTTAATTATTCGTCGTTTGAATAATACAAAAAGGAAAGGGATAAAAAAAAATAAATAATAAAGTAACACGGATGACTCTACTTAAAACGTATAAAACCTAGTTATCCAATTCTCAGAACTCTCTCGAAGAAGAAGGGAGATATCATAGAAACCACCAACTCGAGAAATTGACAGGTTAACATACACAGGAAGAGGAGATATTCTTCATGGTTATTAGCATATACCGAAAGAAAGTTTCCGGATTTCTTTCCTCATATGTGTATGAACGTATATATATTTATAATATATATATATATATATAGTACTATACTATCCATCGACTTGTCTCATACCGGTATGCAGGTTAGTAGGTCACCATCACATCTCTACCAATAATGATTCCAAGTACCCACAAACTGAGATCAAACGATGACATCTCATAAAAAATGGTTAAATGTAATTTATATATATATGTATATATGCATAACATCCTCGTCAGATTCGTTTTTGATCTTTAAATCAGATTCACAAAATCTTCATCGTCATATTCAATTTTGAATATTTCAAATTTTCAAATATTCCCGCGGAACCATTCACCTCGTATATTTCAACCAATCAGATTCATCGTTTTATTTTTCAATCATATTCCAATAAATAAAAATTATTATAATCGATATAAAAGGTGAGATAAAACAAACTAATCAAATGTAAATTAATTTATGTAAATGAAATTATGTAAAATAGTATTATGATAGAATTTATTTTCCAAAATTAGTCAAACATGATAATGCATAAATTTAAAACAATGAATAATTTATACATATACTGATTTAAACAAATGTTGAAAGATAATTTATATTATTCTGGTTATTGACTTATAAAAAATATTTACGAGTATTTATATCGTTAAGAAAAAATGTAAGATGTTCGAAGGGGCTTTTCAGTCCCTTTCCATCTCATTCTTTTTTTCTCATCCTCTTTCTTTCTTTCTTTGTCAAACATAAACATTCTGTCTCACTCTTCCTTGTTATCTTTTCCTCTCACACTCACTCTTCCTTAACATCTTTCTCTTTCACTTATCTTTTTTTCTTTAACTCGTTCGTTCACGATCTTCTTCCCACCACGCGATATCATCTCACATACACCGGTCCAAACGAGGTTTCGTGCACTTTCGAACACTTGGAGATGAGAATTTTGTTATTCGGTTCTTCGTAGACACGAACGTCTGACTCGATCATTCGAGGATCATCCGTGATTGGTAAAAACGAAACGTTACTTTAAAAGCTACTTAAAAAACTTCAGCTAAATATATATACATATATATATATATATATTCGAATCGATCACATAATTTCCTGTGAATTATTTATTTAAATGTGTACATAAATTTACAACACTTTGGAGTCGTCTGAAATCACAGCGGTGTACGTTTGTGCGTGTGTGAACATTTTCATACGAAAGTGAACATTTTATCGTTAAACGAATTCTTTATTATTTATATATTCATTCATTTATATTCTTATTAAAGGATATTTTAAAGTTTAATTCTAATTTAGTAGACTTTAAGCAAATTGAAATTTTAAATAACGCTATTGTTTCGCGCGAAAAGTTTGTTAAGATCAATTCAAATTGGCAACTAAAATATCATTTCATTTTTGTCTACTTTTAATTGTAGACAATTGTTAACGTTTCTCATATATAATAAATAATAGATATCATTTATTTCAAACAATCGATTCGAAGGAAAAAGGAAAAAAGAAAGAAAGAAAGAAAAAAAAAAAATACGAGGAAACTCTCGTTTGAATAATACCGAACCGCTGATTGGTCTGTTTCTTAAAAAGTGGATCGTCTGCCCTGCAGCTATAGGTCAACTTACGTATTACGATGATTGGTTCATAAAAAAAAAAGTTGACGATCGTTTAACTTCATAATTTATTTTTGTCGAATGTATGTGCAAGAAAATGATTTTCAAACGAATGATTTATGTTAATAATATTGTTTACATATATTATATGAGTGATGCTTATGATTTATAAAAGCAATGATCAAAAAAATATACGAGTGAAAAATGAATAGACGAGCAAGTTTACCAGGAGGATTAAATTCTTGTGAAAGGATAAGACCAGAAAGACCAAGAAATCCGATTCAAAAGTTAATATGGAGACCAAATTCTCAAATTCAAATAGATTATGTAGGTATATTGGAAAATGAAGGAGCAAATCCACGTATGGCCTTGAGAAGGTAATCGAGTAATATAGAATTTCAAATAAAAAAGAATCTAAGGGAAGTGCATTCATTGTTATCGATAACATAAATATCTTTGTTATCGACAGAAAGCAAAAGATGTATAGATAACAATTTAAAAAACATTCTATATAATAACTTTTCCTTTTATTTATTTTTATTTTTTTTTTATTTTTTTTAGATTACTTCGACTTTACGAAGGTAGACAATTTCGTGAAGCAGCAGCATTTTTGATGAAATTACCGCAGTATACTTTAAAAACAGCATTACCGGACATTCCAATAGATTTGTTGATCGAAACTTTACCGCACAGTTTAACTTTACTCGAAGCTCTTTATTGTAGACTCGTAGAATTAAATATCACTGATACGAAGATCCTAAGAATAGAACAAGTTCTATGGAGGGTGGTACAATTGTTGTCGAATAATCAGGATTATGTACGTCCAAGGATTTGGTGTAAATTGTTGGCGTCTTTAAATAGATTGTCACCCAATACGAAGAATATATTGGTGTCGAGAAAAAAAGCTATTGAAAGAGCAGTCGAAGGACTTGGGAAACATGGTTTAGTACCTTCCAATTTGGAAGGTTCAGCTAATTCAAACAATTCGAATTTGGTACCACTTCCTGTTGCTCTTAGAGAGCAACTCGAGGCACGTATCGAAGCGTACAAACTTGCACTTCACAAATTAGAAAGTTTTGGAAAAAATACGGGAGTTCATAAAGGTATCAAATTATAAGTCAAATTATTAGCATTCTCTTCATGCAAATTAATAAGCGAGAGTGTTGTACGTCCGGTTCTAATATAAACAGGAAATATACGTGTATAATATATATCTATATATACATATATATATATGATTAACGTTTTATCTTCCAGTGGATCAAAGCGTCCAAGCTGCATCGCACCAGCGCCAACTTTCGCTAAAGTATAGTGAAGTTCAACAAAGATTAATAGACAACCAAAGTCTATTGAATACATTGGAGAAAGCTGGTAATCCGTACAATCTGGAAAGTTTGTTGGTAGAGTTAAAACGTCGAGTTGAACACGATAAAGAAGCTTTAAGACAATGGACGGCTTTGAGAAAATCCATTGGTTTAGCTGGAATTAAAAATCCGACATTGGCTGCTAATTTGTTACAATTTTCTAACGGTTGTTCTTTAATTTTACAACTTATCTGTGATGAGGGTTCATCAACGGAGAAGGTCGGTCTTCTATTAAACCCTCCCTTCTCAAAAAAGAAAAAAACTTTTGTAAAATAACGTTTATTGAAATAATTATCCTTGTGTTCAGATATATAATTCACCAATACATTATGAGAATGAGTATGAAGAAGAATCTTGTAGTACTGGATATCATACTGACGAAAGTCGAACACCGGAACCGGTAGTAGTAGTTGCAAACAAAAGACATGAACTTTTCAAAACGGAAGAAACCTCTCAAGTATTGATTTCCGACGATTTACCGGTTGAACGTTTATCCAAACGATATGGGATGTTGTATGCACAGGCACATTTACATACTCTTGATGCTTTAGACACTTTACGTCCCCTTGATGATGCACCTGAATTAAAAGCTAAGATACTTTATTCTGTAGTTGTGGTGAGTTATCAAGCTTATCATAATTAATAATTTAATTATGATATATTAACAAAACGATATATATTAACAAAACGATAATAATGATTATTAATTATTATTTATAGTTATCATGGAGGTTAGCGGGAATGATTCAAACATATAGACGCATAGAAGCATTGAATATTTTAAATGGTACAACTAGCGGTGTACCATCGGTAGCAAATATCGAGGAATGTATAATAAGACAATTAGCTACCAGTGGTGCACACAGTGGTATACAAGAAGTAGCTGAACAAGTTATCAATCAACTGGAAAGAACGCTCTACGATTTACCTTGTTTAAAAGAATGTAGGGAAATAAAAAGATATACTTCTATGTGCGCCAGCTTAGCATGGGTTTGTTTGGCCCGTGGTACGCCCCTGGTATTGGACGTGGCACAGGATATCGAATTTCGAAGGGAAGTTCATTCAAGGCATCATAGTTCCCCGAATCCAAATGGAACGAGAATAAAATCGGTATTATGGCCAGGTTTACGAGAAGGTTATCAAGGTTCTTGTCTTCACAGAGCTGTTGTTATAACCGTATAACAATATATGGTTAATTAACAATAAAACGGGGAATTTTTAAAAGGGAACTTTTGTTATTAACGTTACATACGAAATAACACATATTACATATACATACAATGCGATATGGATTAGATATTGAAAAAACCCATATCAAGTTTTTCGTACCTTAATAATAATTAAGATCAAACATTATACTAATTTCTTATACATTAAGAAACTTGACGAGTAAGTTTCCATCAAAGGAAACACACAAATAAATATATATTACATATTTTAACAATAAAAATATACAAATAACAAATTTTGTAATATGTTCTTCATTCAAAGTAAAATGAATTGTCGCGCCAATATGCGATATCTATCGATTAATCGATAGTTACGAAATTCTGTGATCTTATTGGCTGAGTAATTTTGTTCAAATTCCGTCGCGATCTATTGACGCGTCATCTGAGTGGCGATACTCGAAACTAAAACAAGTTCGATGGGACTGAAATGTGCGTGGAACCAAAAAAAGGGATAAAAAAAGAAGCATTCTCTTGGCGTCTCCGCCTCTTCTTAACGAACACGATAATTTTTCATCTAAATTATCTGGCAACGTTGGATCGTATTTGTCTATCTCGTATATTCCTCTTTCTCTCTTTCATATACACATAATCGTCATCTTCTTCGTCGCGTATTCGTCGTGCGTGTCGTGTAGGCGTCATCATGATGCATGAATCCGAGTGTCGACGAAGTTTGTTTTGAATCGATTGAACCGTGGATATTAAACTTTATCGTTATTATGGTAATTCCCGTGGTAAGGAGTGCCGTTGAGATTTACTTATCGTTATGGCGGTAATCTCTGATACTCCATTGAAATATTTGATTGAAAAATAATAAAGAAAATAATAATAATAAAGAAAAAAGGGATAGAGTGTTGTGAAATTGATACGATTCGAAAAATAATGTCGGAGATCGAAAAGATTGTTCTCGTTGAACGTTCTCGTTTACGATCAAAAATAAATCGTACGATCAAAGTGAAATTCTTATTCTTATGGATTCTATTAACGTTAAACTTGGTGTTGGCCGATGATCGGTCGATCATATTAAATGAGGAAAGTAATAAGTGTCCCGTTGGATGTGGTTGCATTGGAAACGTTGTTATATGTAATAATTTGCAATTAATCGAAGCACCCAGCGGTTTACCACCATGGACAGAAAATTTGTGAGTAAACAAATAATCCTTCTTTTTATTTTCTTCCTTCGTTTGTTCTTCAATTTGTTGATCGCCTTTTATTTCCTTTTTTTTTACTCATTGTTGTGTTGTTGTTGTTTTATATACTCTCCCCCCTTGATTAACAATTTTCTTCATATTTCCAATGTTTACGCGTGCATGTATCTATATATATCGAGTTTCTTCCGATATCGATATCACTATCACAGTGTTATCAATATGACGTTTAGATTTTTGATTGTTTTTGATACTTAAATGCCTATTTGAAAATAGAAACAGTTATTTTCTAATAATTTGTTTATAATAATATGTTTAGATATTTTCTATGTATATCTAAATTGAACTTTGAGATTAGAATTATATATTTAACTTTATAATTAGAGTTTAAAAATATTATGTAACATTATAAATTAAATGGTTAAAAATATTACAGGTTATCCTGTAATTGATGGTACAAGCGAAAAGGAGATGATTTTACATGAAAAACTCTATTGAAATTGTACAATCTCATTTGTTCATATAATGTTTTCATTTTTGAGAAAAGTTAATTTGAAAATTTGTAGAGTATGTTGTCATTTTAGTTGGATGGATTTTGCTATCTTATTTTTTTGTTTTGTTATTTCAGAGAACAATTTTATATTTATTAATATGTTTAAAAACATTGTCAATAAGATGATATCTCTAGGGTTCCACTGATTCAAGTCAAGTCCATGTGAACTCGACAAATGTTCCAACTTATTTTTCTCAAAAACAAAGCCTTACATGAACAAGTTTGATTGTACATGTTAGTTTTTCATATAGAATTACCAAAATGAGCTTGAACCACTAGTTACAGGATACCACCGTGTATAGTTGAGACTATTGCAAAGGTACGTTTAGTGCCATTTGTATTCCTGTTAGCTAGTTTGATCTCACTGTTACCATATAAAGTCTTATGCTTGAAGGCTAACCAGTTTTAGCAGCTTCTAATGGTCGGCGTTTAAGGATATCAACCCTTCTTCTCAGAAAAGAAAGGCTTAACATAGATATATAGGCATGCTCCTAGGTTTCTTAAGTTAGTTTTTATTTCATTGCAATGTTCTTTAAATGGTATTGCTTTTCTTTCTTTTCAGAAGTTTAAATGACAATAAATATAAACTCAAAGAACTAAGTCTAATTTATCAAATGATACAATACCAATACTAATGTATTATTATGCATGTTTATGTATGTATGATTATTCATTCATGATAACTGGTTAATAAGAACATTATTTTTCAGGGATCTAAGTGCTAATAAATTGGGAAATAATTTTACTATCGGTTTATCGGATGCAACCAAATTAATAGGACTTAAAGCGAATAAGAATCAATTGACACAAATACCTGATCTTTCATTCGTTAACAATTTAACGCATCTCAGTTTGTATGTATTGTTATGTTTTTATACAATGATAATGATGTTTCTTCTATGATTTTTGTTCAATTTATTATTTCATTTCAGATCGCACAATGAAATAACTACTATTAATGGAAGTGCCTTAGCTGTTTTATCAGAACTTCAAACTTTGGATTTGAGTTTAAATAAAATAACTTTTTTACGACGTGGTTCGTTTCTTGCACCAAATAAAATCGTCCATTTGTACGTGTCTATACATTTTATTATGAAATTGAAAAAAAAAAAGTGTTAAATATTATCGTTATAATTTTACGTTATAAAACATGAAATTTGATTTTTTGTTTCTTTCCAGAAATTTAAATACGAATCAAATATACATCATAGAAAATGGTAGTTTGGATAATTTAACTTCGTTAGAGGAACTCCGTTTAAATAGAAATAATCTTGTGCAATTGATGGACACATCATCTGTTCAAAGTCTTTCTACAGCACTTTTCAGTAATCTTGGAAAATTAAGAATATTGTAAGTTCTTTGTATCTTCTATCTGAATTCATTTATATCGTTATAATATATATTTGTTGATGTTGTATAAATTAAATATCAAATTTATTTTATAGAGAATTGAATAGAAATGAAATACAAAAAATGCAAGTATTAAGTCTTAAGGGTTTAACAAATTTAGAAGAATTACGTTTGAAAAGAAACAAAATAAGCACGTTGAGTGATGGCGCATTTTGGCCACTTAAAAATCTTATTCTTCTTCAACTTGATTTCAACTTGTTGACCACTGTAAAGAAAGGTGGTTTGTTTGGATTAGAAAATTTGAGAAAATTAACTTTATCTCATAATCACATTACAAAGATTGAATCGCAAGCTTGGGACAATTGTGGAGAAATTACTGAATTGTTAGTCTAATTATATTTCTGTGTATATATTATTACTATTATTATTTTTATAAATGATAATTACATTAAAGTAAGTAACTTAATTCTATTTTTTTTTTCTTTTAGGGATTTGTCATACAATATGTTAACTTCTATAGAACGAGACACGTTTGATCATTTGGATAAATTAGAAAAGCTCAAAATGGATCACAATCAAATTATACATATATCGGATGGAACATTTAACTCTACTCCAAAGCTACAAGTTTTGTATGCAATGAATTATTTCAAAATGTTTAACATTTTGCACTATAACTAAATGTTAACTATTTATTATGTATTTATAAATGTTTTCTTACTATTCAATTTATTTTTCAATTTACAGGGATCTTAATTCTAACAAAATATCTTACATGGTAGAAGATTTTAATGGAGCTTTTAGTCCACTAAATAATTTATGGAAATTAGGACTGGCTCATAATAAAATCAAATCTGTTAATAGAAATGCTTTCATCGGTTTAATTCGTGTTACTGAACTTGACTTGAGTGGCAATAATATAACTAGTATTCAAGAAAATGCATTTATTACGATGCCAGATTTAAAAAAATTAAAATTAAATTCACGTAAGGACAATTTTCAAATATCATTTAAACATTATATTTTTATATTCAATTTAAAAACATAATGAATTAATTTTGCAGGATCATTGGTCTGTGATTGTGGATTACATTGGTTTAGTACATGGGTAAGATCACATAGATTCGAAGATACGGAAGCTCATTGTGGCTATCCACATTGGTTGCAAGATAAACCATTAGCTCAATTACATCATACAAATTTCACATGTGGTTAGTAATAGTTTCACAATATAGTTCAAAATTATTATATAATTTTAATTTTATTTCTATTCATAATCAAAATAATTTCTCTCCAGATGAATACCCAAAGCCAAGAATAATAGAAGAACCTTCAGATCAAAAACGTGTTAAAGGTGACAACGTGACTATGATATGTCGTGCAACAAGTACAGCTGATGCACCAATCAAATTCACTTGGAAACGCGATAACGTGGAACTAGATAATCCTAATTTACAAACAGACATTCGCACGTTGGAAGGTGGTGTAACTAATGCATCATCTGTTTTGCAATTAATTAATGTAACTCATGCTAATGCTGGAAAGTATCAATGTATGGTCTCTAATACTTACGGAACAACATATTCTTCTAAGGCCAAATTAAGTGTTCTAAGTACGTTGAAACATATAGCGATGTTAATTATTAAATGAACAAAAATCGTTAAACTCTAATGTGCCAATAATATGTCACATTTACAGTATATCCATCATTTTCTAAAATACCTCGTGACATTCGAGTAACTGCTGGAAGTACGGCACGTCTCGAATGTTCAGCAGAGGGCCAACCATCTCCTCAGATAGCATGGCAAAAAGATGGTGGAAATGATTTTCCAGCAGCAAGAGAAAGGAGAATGCATATGATGCCTACGGACGATGTACTTTTTATTGTAGATGTAAAAATGGCCGATACAGGAGTTTATTCCTGTACTGCTCAAAATTTAGCTGGACTTATCGTGGCCAATGCGACTCTTACTATATTGGGTGAGTTTCATCATTGATCTATTTAATTAAAATAGCTATATATTTCATCACAGCGCGCGCGCGCACACACACATACACACACACACACTCGTTTCAAACGTATCAATGATCTATTTATAGAGGTACCGTCATTTGTAAAGCCAATGGAGAATAAAGAAATAATGATAGGTGGTTCTATTGTATTGGAATGTATGGCAAGTGGTTCACCACGTCCCAAATTAATGTGGCGTAAAAATGGTAGTCCATTGCAAATAACTGAACGTCACTTTTTTACGGCGGAAAATCAATTATTAATAATAGTTAATACTATGAGTAACGATGCAGGAAGTTACGAATGTGAAATGAGTAATTCGTTAGGAAGCGTTGTTGGTGCATCTCATCTTACAGTAAATCCAGGTAAATATAATCAAATCAAATCAAATCAAATCAAATAGAAAATAATATCTTTTATTTTTCTTTTTTTATCAGCTCCAACGACAATCGTAAACGAAGATAATATATTGGGATTAATAATAATCACAGTTGTATGCTGTGCTGTTGGTACATCGGTAGTTTGGGTGGTAATAATTTATCAGACGAGAAAACGTTTAAACAATACACGCAATACTAACACGCACCAATCGCCAACAACGGTAATATCAACGGCGCCAGAAAATCAAACTCATATGTATTTGGATACGAGTTCACAGCATAGTAAAGATAGTGGTACTGGTGATAGCACTAATCCTAGCAACGATCAGTTACAATTTTGTTTACCCGGTTAGTGAAATATTTCAATTCATTTTTAATTAAGTTAATGAATGAATGAATTAATCAATCAATCAATCGATCAAGAGAAAATAATTGTTATTTTTAATATTTTAGAAGAAATGGTAACTTGTTCGGTCAATAACGATGAAGAAACTGCAGCTGTGAACGTTGCTGATCCACTAATACGTTATACAAATCATGAACGATATATTCACTCAGATAAAGCATGTGCTGTTTAAACAAAGAATGAAGTTTCATTCTATACAGAGACAATTATAGCAAAAGGTCTGTAAATTATAAAAAACGTTTTACACAGGTGCGTCATTGTTTGAAGACACGAGTCAGAAAAAAACAACGAACAATAATTAAAAAAAAAAAAAAAATGATGATGGCAAAAAAAAAACCTGTGAAAAATGGCAGCAGAAGGTGGTGAAACTTGTCTATATGCAAAAGAAAAAAGTATTTTTAATACTTACGACTTATACTCTTCTCTTGTATAATGCTATTTGGTGTGTTGTGTCATCTTAGATAGAACGCGTCAATGTATTGATAAGTATAATTATGAATTTATGAAAAAAAAAGATCAAAATTATTCGCATTATGGATAATACATTATATTTATGTGGGACGAGCGTCCTCATGCCAAACTTATTGGGTATTCGTGAGAAGGATTGGTTGGTGGGCCGGCCCTGGATAGCTCAATTGATTAAAAAGAACAGCAGTCGCCCGGAAAGCGAAAAGGATCCATGGTTCGAATCCCGGTGTCCAGTCAGTCAGTCCTCCAGCGTTCCAATTTTTTTCCACGAATTCCACATTTATAATAATGTCATTATCAATGCGATTATAAGAATATGCAAGTAAATTAACAGCAATGAAGAGACGACATCATATTGTAAATATTTAACTTTTAAGAGAATTCGTATTCTGCTGTTTGTTACTTGCATGAGAGATTATGGTTACATATAAAAAAAAAAAAACACACATATAATTTGTATTATGACTTGATTAAGAGAAAGAAGAATCATAAATTCTTTGAAAGTCATCTATTATAACGTATATATATATATATATATATATATTAGGTCAATCTTTGTGATAGATATTTATTATAGATTTATACAAATTAGAAAAGATACAACAATATTTATGATACTCGAAAGGTGTGTAATATTTTATCATGAGGATAATATAGATGAGAAATCGAGTATCATCTCAATCTCATCATTTGTGTACGATTGTACTGATATACATATATATCATCTTCGTGAATTGTCTTCCCTTTTCATTTTTTTTTTACACTGTGGTGATCATCATCGTAATGATTAACACTAGATTTACGAATTGAGCCAATTTGACTCATTGAATATATTTGATTATTTTATATATTTATAATATTTAAATAATAGTTTTTTTAAAAACTTATATTGGTTTTTAGTTATACGTAATGAAATATGCGTAAATATTAATACCATTCATTCCTTTATTCAACCCTTCATTCAAACTTTAATGTTATTAAATCATTAAAAAATAATGAACAAAATATCCGTAAATCTAGTGTTAATAAGTAACACACAAAAAAAGTTGATTTCTATTTAATAATTTAATCTAAAATGCGTTGCTTATTATTGAACGTTATTATTCGTATATATAAGTATTGTATGTATGTATGTATGTTGTGTACAGTAGATGTTATGTATATATACGTTTAAAAAAAAAAAGGTTTTTTTAAATGTCATACTTATTTAATTGAAGAAGAAGAAGAAGAAGAAAAAGAAAAAGTATTACTATAAGTCGAGACATAAGTTAAAGTTATATTAATTTTGAAAATGACACTGTATATTAATATCACTCTATATATGTAGACTTAAACAACTTGTATTATTTTATTGAAATTTATAATATCAATTTGATATGATACGTTTTCAAAGTATTATTCATAAAAAGAAGAGGAAAAGAAAGAAACGAAAAAAAAAAAAAAAAAAAAAAAACAAACCAATTGTGGTAACGAAAAGATAATCGGTGACGAATGAATGAATCTAAAATGTTATTGTAAATTCATATGTGCTTTATTGTCAAATGATTTCATATATGTATTTATATTTTTTGTTTTTAATAATTTGCCATACTATTCCGCTCGTATGTATGTATGTATGTATGTATGTAGGTATGTCAACCCAATATGTTAGAAAAATTAGAAACTTTGAAATTAGTGTTTAAAAGCCTGATCTATCAGCGGTTTGAGATTTGTCTTCGTATGCAATTGAAAATGAGAACAAAGGATTCGACGTAAAGAAAATTGTGATGAGTGTGTTGATAATGAAATAATTTTCTTTGTTTTTTTTTTTGTTAACAATTAATACGTACTGTCACATTCTTCTTTACTTCTAATTTAACAAATATATTTCCCAAGCTAATAAACGCACATTTAAATAAAAATCAAAATCAAAAATCATCGCGTTAATTTATATGAACGACTATAACAAAGAAGAAGAGTTTAAATATTATTATTATTATTATTATTATTATTAACAATTGTCTTCTAATCGAACGCTTCGTATATTACAAAAATCAAAATTGTTAAATTTGCTATGAAAATTGAAGATTTATATTTTTCTAATCGTTTCATCATCTGAAAAAGTATTTTCGTTCGATTTATTATACTTACATATAAACGCACACACCAAACTTTTTTTAATATATTTACAACGTTTTAATTTCCAT